CAAACTCTTATATTTTCAATTCCTAACTTCCGTTGCCCATGACTACAACAAAAGAGGGTGGAGATGTTCATCAATGGCAATAGGAACAGCAGTTATCCAAAATAAATCAATGGCCACTAAATTAAAAAATTGAAAACCTAAAAAAAAAATGGTGTCGAGTGACGACGCCGTTAACTAAACTGATTTCTTTTTAATGTTTTATTTACATAATTTGTTTCATTTATTAATTTTAAGTTTTTATTAAAAATATGACAAATTTAAAGTAATATGACATGTATCATTTTTATTGGTTACAAGGGAAGGGGGTGAACAAAAGGATTCACCCCTAGGGGTGAATCCAAAAATTGTTCGTGTATAATCAGATTATCATTTGATTAGAACAGGCTAAAAACTACAACCCTGGCTCTGATTGTATGAGCATTTTGGAGGAATTCACCTAAAACACTTGCACAAGTCAATCAATTCCATCACACACTTATAAACCTTTAGAGTAGACCAAACAAGAAACCATATTCATGGCAAAACAGAGGAGAAAAACCCAAAAAAATTAAGATCACAATCCTATATAGTAAAACCCTAAATTTGAATTAGTTTCGTTGAAAATCGTAACCATAATACTTGAGAAACTAGAAAATCTATCATCTATAAATTACTTTGTGTTTTTTTTTGGCAACCAACAAAATTCATGTTTTTTTTTTTTTTTGAAAAATATTAAAAAGTCTAAGGAATTTTCCTTTTGCTAAATCGATAATTTAAGCAATTTGTGTTTTTGTTTTTTCATCTGAAACTGATGGAAACACAAAGATCGGCACTATGATTCTCAGCACCGGAGCCGCTTCAACATTATCCATCGCCGCTCGTGTTTTTAACGCTATGAATCGCCGAAATTACTCTACTCGATGCATCTCCGCAGAATCCCTAAATCTTCGTTCCGATTCCACTTCAGGTCTCTCCTCTCTCTCTCTCTCTCTCTCTCTTTCCGACTTTATGGGAAATTGATGGAACTTCACTTCATAATTGGTCGGTTGTTCTGTTTTGGTGTCAGAAGCAGCCAATGTAACTCCCGAGTCTGAGACTCGACTCTCTTTGAGGAAGAAAAGGCTAAAGCAGGAAGATTTGGAGCCCTTGGATGAAGATTCCACCAGAGGAATCAATTCCCGTAAAGTAATGTAATTTCATAATTCTGCTTCGAGTATGATATTCTTGTTTACTGGTTTCTACGTTCTTAACCAAATCATATTTCTCACAGGGATGACATTTCTCAGATATAGTTTTGTTATTTTTGTTGTAATTGTTCTTTCAGTTTACTCTGTTCTTACAAAAAATATATGTTTTATGTAATGATGCAGGAGATGTTGGCATTACCTGATATAGAAGAGTCTCCTTACAAGAGTACCAGTGGATTTGCTTCATCTAGTAAGTCTCACTATCTACGGTTACATTTTCCCTTTTTGAAGAAAATGTTTTGTATTCCTGATTAATCTTAAGTTACATTCATGAGTTGAGTCGTCAGTCATATTTTGTAACCCAACGTCAATCATCACAGATGTCTGATGGATTGAATCTTTGAAAACAGTAAAGTGACTGAACCAAACCTTGTTCTCATCACCCTTCAACTCATAGCATGATTTCTTGTATGAATGGTTTTTGCAGGGACCTCAAAACTAAACTCATGTATAAAATCAACTGAAGCTAGCGCTTCTGCATCTTCGGTCAAAACTGCAGGTTTTCATTCACGATACTCTAATATTCTTAGTGAAATTTCGGGTACATTTATTCTTTATGGAAATTGTGATGTCCGTAACATGTTTATTTAGGGATAGCACCTGATAACTGGGAAAAGGTGATCGAGGGTATTCGAAAAATGACATCTTCAGAAGAAGCACCAGTTGACAATCTAGAATGTGATAGGACTGGAAGCTTTTTACCTCCAAAGGTAGAAGATCTTACATCTATATGGGAATTGTGGTATCTCTGAGTTTGTGCCTATTGGTTTTAGGTCTCATTGCTTTCTCAAATGTTACTTCCCATTTCTTTTCATTATTACATGGTATTCTAAGCATAGATTGGGAACCAAGTTCCTAGCTTTTTACCTTGAACTGAAAACTCCCTAACACTTTATGTTACTATTAACAAAATGCTAGCCTAGGATTAGGAAAATCTCTTATTTCTGATTCTTGTGGCCTTTGTTGTTTTCACATTTCATAATCTTGTTTTTGCTTTTGACCTATCTCATCCTATTTCTAGGAAAGGCGATTTTATGTGCTCATAGGAACACTACTTTCAAGTCAGACTAAAGATTACATAACTAGTGGTGAGATTTGAATTACTCAGCCCATGTTGAAAGAACGCGTAATTTCACCATTCCAGTATCTATGATATCATCTGGATCTCCAAGTTTCCTGATATTATATCCAAACACTTTTAATATGCAGCAGCAGTAGACCGTCTTCTTCAAAATGGCCTTCTCACCCCCGAAGCCATTGACAAAGCCGATGAATCAACCATTAAGGAATTGATCTATCCGGTATATTATTCCTTAGTTATCTTACTTCATGTAGTTGAAGCCTTGAAGGCCTCATTGACTCGTACATGACCCATACTGCCATATTCTTTCATGAAAAGTATTTAAGAAATGAAAAGAAAGGAATGAGAAAATTTAAATGGAAATTGTTGTCATTTTTAATTCGATATGAAACTTACTGTTTACTCGTGTTACTCGTAGGTGGGATTCTATACTAGAAAGGCTACGAATGTGAAGAAAGTTGCAAAAATTTGTCTGACTAAATATGACGGTGACATTCCAAGCACTTTGGAAGAACTACTCTCACTTCCAGGAGTTGGTCCTAAGATTGCTCATCTGGTAGAAGTTTCCGATAGTAGTTTTGTAAGAGAGATACATGTGTCCATAGTTCTTATAAGGTTTTTTTTTGTTGTCTGGTGATAGGTTTTGCATATAGCCTGGAATGATGTTCAAGGAATATGTGTAGACACACATGTGCATCGCATTTGCAATAGACTTGGTTGGGTGTCTAAACCAGGAACGAAACAGGTGCTTCTCTAACATCAGGCTTATGTTTAATTATATATATGTATGAGATTGATTTCTTAAGACTTGATATAAATTTTGCCGCTTTTTTTGTATGCTCGTTGCTCTTTGTCACCCATCTCTCATATGTTCTGGACCAGAAAACCTCGTCCCCTGAGGAAACTAGAGTAGCTCTGCAACAATGGCTTCCAAAAGAAGAATGGGTCGCTATCAACTTTCTGTTGGTACGTCATCCTAAGAGATTCTAACTTAAAATGCATGTCCATACACAAAACAATCTACTTATGATTATTATGAACATTTCATATGTCAGCAAGAAAAATGGCTGAAACCTGTAGAACTCCACTTAATCTTCATCCTCTCTGTTTCTTTGTTGTCTGAAATCTAAACACAGGTAGGTTTTGGACAAACGATTTGCACACCACTAAGACCACGATGTGGAACCTGTAGTATCACTGAGCTCTGCCCATCTGCCTTCAAGGAGACCCCAAGCTCATCATCCAAATTGAAGAAATCTGTCAAAAGCAAAAAACTTTAGTTGCTTTGGTTCTGGATTCTTCTACCAGATAATTTCTTAACCCATTTTGTGATTAATCCCCTCGGAAAAAGTTAAATTGTACCCAAGAAAATGTATAGTTTTATCACCTTTATAGGGAATGTAAGAGCATCCCACTTGTGTGTGTATGAAAGAAAGACACTTGGGCAAGTATAGTTTTAAACTTTTAATTGATTATTATGAAAATGCTTCAAAGAGCAATTCAAAAACCGTATTTCCATTAAAAGCAAGTAATTTGGAGTTATCTACCTTGTAACTTATCTAGTTTTGTTTGCAACTTGTGAAATGGCTGATATCCCCTTTTTATTGGGGTCAAACCAAATTTAAATGATATTCTATGTTCAAAAACCATCAACAAACAGATTAATTGAATTCTCAAGACGAGAAGACACTTACTAAAGGCTGATGGGTTTAGCCACACATTGTGTTTAAGAAATGTTAATGGTCATAAGAAAATTAATTTTAAATTTAGGTAATTTACCAAATGGAATGAAGTTATGGGGTTAATTTGATGATACATAACATATTCGGGGGAGTAACTTTATAAATAACCCGAACTTGTAAGAATATCCACAGACTAGTAGAGGTAAGGATAGAGATACACTTACGTCCAAACAAAGAGTGGGTTAGAAAATTTTATTAAAGCAGCAGCCGGAAAAAAAAAAAAAAAACGTTCCAAGAGAAAGAAAAAAAAAAAAAAAAAGAGGGAGAAGAGCAACGAAGACGGACCTGCAAATTCTGCAGTCTCCACTGACACTTTCGATCTTTCTCTCATTTTCACCTTCTGCAATCTTCAGGTTTCTGCGTCTTTATGTTACCACCTCTCTCTTCTGCTTGCTCGATTTTGCATTATCTCCGTTCATTTTCTCAGTTGATTGTCTCGCTGGAGTTGTATATTGGCTAATGCAATCGGATAAATAGTCTGTTTGGCTGTTGATTAGCAAGTACTTGTTCATATTAATGCACAGCAACCGTTGATTTAATTGAACTGATCATATGCAGCTTCAGTTTCTAGGGTTTGCTTCAGGATTTTTCTTTCTTTTACTCGGAGGTTTAGTGGATTCCTCTTTTGGGGTTTATCTCTATGAGTGCATGTCTATTAGGATTTGGTGTTCCGAGATTGAGTGTGGCTGTGAGAGAATCTTAGTTGTACTCCTTCTGGGAGTATTTTGATATGTGGAAACTGATTTTTCTGCAATTCTTCTTGTGTATGAGTGTTTGGACTCTACATGTGTGATACCTTTAGATTACATACCTGTCAGGAACGTATTTATAAGTGTTTGAATTGAAAGTAACCTCGTATTGTTATTTTTTATTAATACTGTTTTCCCTGTGATTTTTGGGTTTGTAGTTTATGGAAGGAGGTAATCATCAGAGGTAGCATTTCTCCATGCATCCGAAGCAATCAAGTCAAGGAGATGGGTCAGTTACTCAGCCAGTTAGAACTAGTGATAGGCTTAGGAGGAGGCCCAAATTGTATGCTCGCTCATACTTTTACTATTCACCAAACATTGTACATAATAGGAAAAGAAACACCAAGACAAGAACGGCAGCCTCCCAGATCGCAAAGATGCTGCACAAAGGGAACCGTCCTGCAAGGGTATCAAATGCCACAGTAAGCATAAGCATTACATGGTCCTTCCTATGTTATTGCATTAGTTTATAAAATCTGGCTCTTCATCTTGCTCTACGTCTACCTCTTCGATAGTTTTATCCTTCAGTATATCATTTGGTTAGTGGATTGATTTGATCATCGGTTTCTTGATCTTGTCTTCATTTTTCTATTTCAACTGGCTAAATATTGTCTATGGATGGTATCAGGGGAACAACATGACAAGTGGTCTGATCAATCCTTTGCTTTGTTATGCATACCGTTTATCTTTAGTCTGATTAAACTAGAATGTTGATAACATTGCTAATGACGTACAGCCAATTGCATCTGACCTCCGGCGTTCCACAAGGAAGAGAAGAATTTCTGTAAATCTTGAGGACTATACGGACAGTTCTGGAGCAGAGGATGAAGATATGATGGTCAGAATTTCTTCCTCTTAAAACTGGCTCTTTGGTTATGATTCATAAAACTATTATATAAGTACTGTGGTACTGGTATGCCTGTTGAAAATAGAGTTCTGATCTTTTTCAGAGTCCGGCATATCGAAATATGAGGAATCGAGTCAATAATGGAGTTCATAAAAAATTCTCAACTTCAAAAAGTAGAAAGGGCATGGAAACTGAATTGGCACCACGGCGTGAAGGTCTCCGTCCTCGTCGTTCAAAAATAATTGCTAACAAACGACTGAAAACAGAATCTGGCGCCGATCAGGATACATCAGAGGAGAAAGATGGCCAGGATGAAACTGAGAATGGGAATGAATTAGATGATCATGATGTAGATGACGGTGAGGATGAGGTTGAGGTTGAAAACGAGGGTAATGGAGAAGATGAGGATGATGGCGAAGATGAGGGAGAAGAAGATGGTGATGATGATGAGGAGGGTGATGAAGAACAGGAGGGAAGGAAGAGATATGATCTGCGAAACCGTGCTGAAGTCCGGAGGATGCCTACAGAAGAAATTAATAAGCAACAACAATCTAGATCTCCGCGGAGAGTGTTGCATCAAGGCATGGGCACCAGGGTTGGCAGAGATGCTAGGAGAGGTGGGTCTCGGCCTCACAAACGCCATCGCTTTACAAGAACAGATGATTCAGATGATTCTCTTCTTGTGGATGAGTTGGACCAAGGCCCTGCAATTCCCTGGGCTCGAGGTGGAAACAGATCTGGACCACCTTGGCTATTTGGGGGTTTAGACACGTATGGGTCAAGTTCATTGGGATTGAATGTTGGAGCTTCGGGTTGGGGCCACCAAAGTGATGGTTTGGCTGCATTAACTTCTGGTGCTCAGACTGCTGGGCCTAGTTCTAAAGGAGGTGCTGATATCCAGCCACTGCAGATTAATGAGGATATAAATTTTGATGAGATTGGTGGACTATCTGAATACATTAATGATTTGAAGGAAATGGTTTTCTTTCCGTTGCTGTATCCAGAATTCTTTGCAAGTTACAGTATCACTCCTCCCAGAGGTGTACTGCTATGTGGTCCTCCAGGCACTGGTAAAACTCTGATTGCTCGAGCATTAGCGTGTGCTGCTTCAAAAGCTGGACAGAAAGTTAGCTTTTATATGCGAAAGGGTGCTGATGTTCTTAGCAAGTGGGTTGGTGAGGCTGAGAGACAACTAAAGCTACTCTTTGAGGAGGCTCAGCGAAATCAGCCTTCCATAATATTTTTTGATGAAATTGATGGTCTTGCTCCTGTAAGATCTAGCAAACAAGAACAAATACATAATTCTATTGTTTCAACTTTGCTGGCGCTGATGGATGGCCTTGATTCTCGTGGTCAAGTTGTTCTCATTGGAGCTACGAACAGGGTAGATGCAATAGATGGAGCGCTACGCCGCCCTGGTAGATTCGATCGTGAGTTCAATTTTTCTTTACCAGGCTGTGAAGCACGAGCCGAAATATTGGATATTCACACTCGTAAATGGAAGCATCCACCTACCAGGGAGCTGAAAGAAGAGCTGGCAGCTACTTGTGTAGGATATTGTGGTGCTGATCTAAAAGCTTTGTGCACTGAAGCTGCTATTCGTGCTTTTCGTGAGAAATATCCACAAGTTTATACAAGTGATGATAAATATGCCATAGATGTTGGATTGGTTAAGGTTGAGAAGAGCCACTTTGTAGAGGCAATGTCAGCTATCACTCCTGCTGCCCATAGAGGGTCTGTTGTTCAATCCAGACCACTCTCCCCGGTTGTATCGCCATGTTTACATCGACACCTCCTTGAATCCATGAGCATAATATCAGATATTTTTCCCTCATCAGCCACTTCATCAGAGTTGACAAAGCTGTCAATACTTTCATTTGGATCTGCAATTCCTCTTGTTTATCGTCCTCGTCTTCTGCTGCTTGGTGGTGAAGGAGTTGGACTGGTAACTGCTTTTCGTTTCTTGTGATTATATCAGAAGGCTTTATATTATGAACTGAATTCACTTACGTGTTAGCCTAACAGGATCATCTTGGGCCTGCAATTCTACACGAGCTAGAAAAATTTCCTATTCATTCTCTGGGACTTCCATCTCTCCTTTCGGATCCTGGAGCAAAGACCCCGGAGGAGGCGTTAGTACATATATTTAGTGAAGCTAGGAGAACAACACCTTCAATACTTTACATACCGATGTTTAATAATTGGTGGGAAAATGTAAGTGTCGTTATTATTCCAGTTCAATTCGCTGAAATTACTTTTGGAGATCGTTTGCATGGTTGTAGCAGGAATTCCCTTGAGTTTTAGATTGCCATTCTAATGATCTTGTTACTGATGGCTGCAGGCTCATGAACAGCTTAGGGCTGTATTTCTGACTTTGTTAGAAGAATTGCCATCAAATCTACCCATATTATTACTTGCTACTTCTTACGGTGAATTATCTGACATGGAAGAGCAGTCAGTATTTGACAATAGATCTGTGTAAGTTTATGTTCTACTTGGAATCACTCTGTCCAGTACCATACTACAGCTTTGTTACTAGCTTTTATTTTTTCCCCCATATAACTGGTAAGTGACTTTCTTTGGGCATGAGCAACAAGTTTTTGAGTAGGTTCTCAGTATAATAGTATACAGTTGGAGCTTGTTCTGAAAGCTGGTTATCCCTTCAATGTCAAAAGGCTTGCATCTCAGTAGCATGCATGTTAGTCTCGAGTTAATATATGAAGCTGTTGACCACTTACATTTGTTTATCAAGTTGATTTTTTTTGGTTATTCTGATATTGATCACCTTAAGGATCCTTAACATGGGGCACGTAATGATCAATTTAATTTATGAACGTACATAATATATTTGACAAATTACATGGAAGTTCATAGATAATTTATGTGAAATGGTACTGCCTTTTTATTGGTCTCATTCCCCAACTTAGCATTATCTAGAACTCTCATTACAGATTTAATTTTGTTCATTCTTTTGGTTGTCCATGAAATAGTCCTCAGGCTTGTGTTATATTATTCAGTCTCTCAGATTGTGTACATTATTTGCTTTCAGGTATAATGTGGACAAACCATCAAGCGAAGACAGGTCTTTGTTCTTTGACCGTTTGATTGAAGCTGCTCTCTCAGTCATTTCAGGCTTAAATAGCAAATCAGATGAACCACAGTCCCTGCCAGAACTTCCCAAGGTTCCAAAAGAACCTACCGGTCCAAAACCCGCAGAAATAAAGGCCAAGGTGGAAGCTGAGCAGCATGCCCTTCGACGATTGCGTATGTGTCTCAGAGATGTTTGCAATAGGTATATGGGCACATGATATTTTGGTAACTCAAGGCACTACCCTTGCAGTGTTCATATTGACGCTTTATTATTGTCGTCTTTACACTTATATCAAGAAGGCCTATTACTTTTTGCCTACTGGAGGTCTAGTGATCACAGTTCCTGATATAATAATCTGGTAGCCTTGCCTAGTCTATAATGTTGGGAGTTATCTTGGGTATTGCAGATAAGCCTGTTTTAATTGTCGCTTGTTATCTGTACAGGATACTATATGATAAAAGATTCAGCGCATTTCACTTCCCAGTTACTGACGAGGATGCTCCAAACTATCGCTCAATAATTCAAAATCCAATGGATACGGCTACACTGCTGCAGCGTGTCGATGCTGGGCAGTATCTCACATGTTCACCGTTCTTGCAAGATGTTGATCTCATTGTGAGAAATGCCAAGGTGCACTCCTATTTACAACATATGTCTTTTATATGGCGATAAAACTTTTACAATTCATAAAATATGGTCCCTGCATTAGCAAAGTAATGGATAGAAAGTCCCACTGATTGGTGCTGGAATAGATTTGGCTGGTGTTGACATTGTCCTTATTATCCATTTTATCATGTGATATATTGAGGGAATATAGCTGTTCTCTTAAACAGAATGTCGTTTCCAAGTCAATGCTAAGGAATGAGACTCTTACCAATGAAGTGATGTGTTGATGGTGGCTGACTTAACTTTTTTGGTTATTTATCCAGGCTTACAATGGAGATGATTATGCTGGAGCAAGAATTGTCAGTAGAGCCAATGAGCTTCGTGATGTAGTATGTTTGCTAGTCTCTAAGACTGCATATATAATTTTCCACAAAGATTGCTGCAAGTCTGTCATCTCCTAAAAGCTGTTCCCTGAAGTCATTGTTATTTTTATGTTTCAGGTGCATGGGATGCTGTCACAGATGGACCCAGCACTGCAAACATATTGTGATAAGATCGCAGCTGAAGGTGGTCCTTCACAGATACCAGATGATCTGAGTGGATCTATCCTTGGTCTAGCTCCTGTTGTGCAGATGGGAACTGTTACTAGAACCAGTGCCCGACTTCGGAATGTGCAGCCAGAGGTTAATTTAGATCGAGATTATGAAGGTCTTAAAAAACCCAAGAAAACTGTGGATGCTGCCTGTGCAGGTAATGCTACTACAATTGCAGATTTGGTTCTTGTTTTATGTGTGAAGTGTCTGTGGTTTGCTTTCCCTGAAACTTTTGAGTCCCTGCGATCTCGGATTCCTAGATGTAGAAAAACTCTTGGTTATGAGACTTCTCAATACATGTGGTGTGTGTTTACTTCATGATGAACAGATTCAGCTGCAGACAAATTACAAGACCAAGATTCAGGCCAAGAAATGCCATCTCCGGAAGTGGCCAACTCAAATCCGTCAGCTCCATCAGCAGCAGATGGTGAAAGAGAAGACCAAAGCGAGCAGCCAAGAAAAGAGGAGGTATCTAGGGAAGAAGGAAGTGGTGATTGTTCCCGAGATTCCGCTAAGTTGGATGAAGAAATATCAAACCGAATAGAAACTGTAAAAGTACTACTCATGGAGCGCACTGACAAGTACAGCATTCCGCAGATGGAGAGGCTTTACACTCGAATCATGAAGGGTGTTCTTGAGACTTTGGACAAAGGGCTTCGCGATGACGATAGCAACCCTAAGCATTCAATTTTGAGATTTTTGTCGGCATTCGCTCAGCATGAGGCGAATTTCTGAGGTTACACTTTCTCAGATCGGTCAATAGGTTAGGTTTGCCCCAAAAAAAAAAAAGAATGAAAGAAGCAAAAGATTTTTTTTATTTTTTTTTTCAATCCGGATTTTTTCTTTGACTGAAAAAGTTGCTTTAAGACCAAACAGTAGTTTATCAGTAGGATCCTCTTGTAAAGTAGAACTTGCACTTTTCAACCTAAAAACAAGCTTAATAGGCATAGAAGAAACAAAAGTGATTAATCTTCAGGTTACTCTTGTATCAAATTGCTCTTATAAGTGTCCAGCTTGGTTAATCATCTCAAGATGTTTCACTGTTGGTCGCAATTGGTGTTAAGTGCAATACAAGTAATTTCCGGAAGGGAAGTGAAAAGATGAACAAAACGTAAACATAACAAAACGTATCAATTGGAGCTGTAACGAACGATGATTTTGGGGATATCAACCCAGTTTAGCTCATCATGTCTTGGTGGAACTTATTCTACAACTCTGAGTTCCTGTCATGACCGTTGAGGATAAATATTGAGCGGGAAAACCAATCTTGACGCACTGAGAGATTTAATCAGCGGTTAGAAACAAAGTTCTTGGACGATTATAAAGATTCTAAGAGAACAAAAGAGGACCATTGTGAATTTCTCCTGTCACCATTTTCTCAATCTCAATCTCTCTCTCTTCTCGTTTTATCTAGATTTTGGCAAGTCTTGTGATCTTCTTCTCTACGCTAGTGCAACTTCGTGAATCATACATAGAAGGAGAGATGAGTTTGGGTCTGCATTTACCGGCGGATAAACAAAATATCCCCAAGACTGTGGAACAAATAAGACAAGAGATATTAGATAGAATCTTTGATCACGTCCCCAGAAGAAAAAGGACTTGTTACGAGTTCCTTCGCAAGGATACAGAGCAACACCTTCCTTCTGTCCCACAAGAAGATAAAGATGCGATATTGAAGAGAAACATCCCCAAAGGAAGAAAGACTACTTCTTGCGAAGACAAGACGCCGCCGGAATGGCTTGCCCAGGTGATGAGTCGCATGAAAGGAGCTGGTGACCCGAAGCTAATCATAGAGAAGACTCTGGACTTGAACGATGTTGATCCACTCCTAAACCGTCTCTCGATCCCTATCAGCGACGTTATCCAAAACGATTTCTTGACGCTTGACGAGTCGAGAATGATTGATGACGACGACATCACTAACCAAGGGAATATGGGCGTGGCTGCGTTTCTTGTGGATCACAGAACTAAAAGATGGAATGTAGGTATATGAAGACTAGTTCAGGGAGAAGCTACTGGAGTTTTGTCTTGCGTGGTGAATGGAGCAACGCCGTTGAGACTAATGGATTGAAACAAGGCGACAATATCAGTCTTTGGTCTTTCAGGTCCAGTGAAATCCTCTGTTTTGCCCTTGTTCATCTGACTAGCTCTTTCTGTGTAGATAAGTAAAAAGAAGGTTTTCAAGACTTTTAAGGTTTCGTTATGATAGAGATGTTGCTAGGTTTTGGTACGAAGTTGGGATCTTAATCTTGTTGAGATTTCTCTTACATTACTACTCACAGATAAAGAGCTGTTCACTGAGAATTGTATACTTTTGACATGCTCTGGTTTTGTTTCTTGATCTGTACACAGTACACGCACACAGATCAAGTTTTAAAGTTACTCAATTTGCTATGATTTATTATTAAGTTACTGCATTGATAATATGTTTGATTTGCTTGTGATACATCATACTAAAAGTATAAAACTGTGGAGACCAAATTGGTAAAGTGTTTTGCCACATTCGTCCCAAAAATATAACGAAGGAATCAAGCAAAACAAGAATGCAGAAGGTTCTTCTAGTCATGTTGAAACAGAATGCAGAAGGATCATAGGTCTTTTAATACCTTTGTACCCACGCTTTGATAAATTATTAGGATTTTTCTTTCCACTTTATCACAAAACCTAATTACAAAATCAAATAGAGCTCGCAAAAATCAGAATCACTTTAATGGGCCTTAATTCACTGATTTGATATGGTGTACTTCTCCTATCTTAAGCCCAAATATAGCAGCCGCTTGACCCAGTAATTAAACTACTAATTAAGCTGAAAGAAGAAAAAAAAAGTAAATCAGAACTGATTAACTTATTTAACGTCAACACAGGTGGTATTCTCATTCTCATTCGGTCATTCTCTCTCATATATTTACTTCTTCCTCACGTTAGCTTCTCGCTCTTTGATATCGAGTTAGGGTTCCGATCACAATGACGATAAACGAAGACGATCAAGCGGATGAGACGGTTTTGTCGAAGCTCTATGAGTTGGCGGATGTCGCAGCTAAGGTGAATGATGAAGATCAACGCGCAAGAAAAGGAAAAGCCAAGATCGTCTCTGAGGAAGACGAAGAGGAGAGCGAGAAGAATCTACGATCGCGTTCCTAGAAAGATAAGGTCTGAAAATCTTTCTTGGGCTTCTACTTCTTCATCTCTCCTCCACCGCTCTCGTTTTGAGCCTTCTTCTTCACGCTTACTCCAATCGTCCCCATCTTCGTGCCTAACGGATAGCACAAGCTCCGTGAGCCATGCGGTGTCACAGAGGAGCAGTTATAGTAGTAGTAGATTCCAGAAATCAAAGGTGGTTGCTCTGTTTTCAAGGACGCCAAGGTGGCTTATTCAGGTGATGAGAGACATGAACGGAGATGATCCCAGACTCATCTGTGAGAAGAGTCTTATCGTGGCTGATGTTAACCCAAACGAGAGCCGTCTCTCGATACCATTCAACCTTTTAATCAGAAACGACTTCTTGACGCCTGTAGAATCGAGAATCATAGAGGAAGACATCAACAAAGATGAGAAGATGGGAGTGGGAGCGATTCTGGTGGACCAAAGGACCAAAATTTGGGGTGTGATTTTAAAGAGATGGGATGTGAACAACGGAGGCTCAGACTACAACTTGGTTTGTGGGTGGGACGACGTCGTTAAGGCTAATGAATTGAAACACGGCGACTACATCACTCTCTGGTCTTTCAGATGCCGTGGAATCCTCTGTTTTGCTCTTGTTCCTCTTACAATGAGACAGAGGACCTCTTCCAACGCTCTCAGTCTCTGCTAGGCTTCTTGGCTCTGTTGAGTTTGGTCTACTTTTGTACTGCCATCTAAGTTCAGGCGATTCTAGAGGTTTTCTGAGTCAAGTTAACTTCTTGGAGGGGTTTTCTACGTTTTGATAGATCTTACACCTTTACTCTATCGTTTGTACGTTCTTTTGATTTTCATTCTCTACTATGATTGGACATTTTCGGTTTAATAGTAAAACAAACTCTGATTACTGAAAGCCTAAGTATGAGTTGATGAATATTTACAACATGACTCAGGTTTTGGTGCTTGGTCTACTCAAGTTATTGCATCAGTTAATACCTTTTGTTTCTCGTAATATATCTCGAAGCCTGAACTGAGTGATAGAATTGGTACAAATATTGGCATCTTGTAAATGTTTTCTACGGGACTTTTCTACTCATGATGGAAGTTAGTTTGGTTTCTGAGTTGCTCTTTGATCTCACTCAGTCATGACAAGTTAGCTGTTGTGTTGTGCAACTTAGTTAGCAAGCACGCTGCCGCAGATTCCCTAGCTTCCGCAGCATCAGACTTTTCCTCTCCATGTACTGTATATGCGACATGATTCCCCTTGATTCTTACTTCAGCTTCATACCCACCTTTTTTGGACAAAGCAACAATATCAACATGAAAATTTTGAGTGAGTAAAGGAGCTAACTACAAATTTGGCATATGACCTCAAAACTTTACCATCTGATGGAGACACACGATAGTTTGGTAGTACCCAGTTATTCACGAGACAGATATCATCAAGTTTCTGCAATAATTAAGGGCAATGAATCTTATTCTTTGAACGTCAAATGATCATAGTTACCATAAACTAACCTGACACAGACTTTTAGTAGGAGCAAGCGATTCACTGAGCTTCAGCCTCTTGTTGCTTTGGCATGCTGACTTGTCAGAAGATTCTTGAAGGATGCGGCTTGGGTATGTCTCGTTACAGCACTCAAGTATTGTTTCTAATTGCAGCTCCCAATCACCTATAACAACCACGAGAAGCACTCAGATTCACATAAAACAAAATCTGTGACAGAAAGGAAATGTACATGTATACACACCTTTGATGTTCTGGATGCATTTATCACATTTAGCAATCTCGTCTTCTACGTACCGCTGTTGACGAGTCTGCAAAAGAGAGCAGTTCTTAGCCAAAAAAAAGGATATATGCTATTGCCAGTCAGTTTGTTTGCTGTATTGTGCATTTATGATCAAATCTATAGTTATTACCAGTTTATCTCGCTTACAAAGAAGAACTTTCGTTGCAGTTTCGGATAGTGATGTAGCTCTAGAAAGAAGAGACGTCTGTAGCTCCTCAAGGTTTAGGTTAGAGTTGTGAGCAGAAACAGGAGCTGCATTAAGCTTAAGAAAGCTATGAAGTCTGTCAGAAACAGCTTTCTTCCTCTGGATACCTCTTTCGTTGTGATCCTTTGGGTCAGACGCAACATGCATTTACAAAAGGTTCATAAGGGAAACTTGAAGATAGAATTGAGAATATTTAGTTGTTAGTGTAGTAGATTTTAGACTTTACCTCCAAACCACCTTTCTCACCATTATGCACATTCTTAGACTTCAACCCAAATACCGTCTCCAAATGGGCATTCGGTTCCTTCAGAAAACTTGTACTTCCTTTTAGGTATCGATTTAATATCCTTGGAGTAGCTTTTCTTCTAGCTCTAGGATTGCTAAGTAGAGCAGCAACTTTTTTGGCCTGCAATTTAAATTCCCAAGTTACTTTGTACTACCATTTTATTCTTGACACAACCATACAAGTATCATTACCAGTGCATACGTTAATTTCATAACTCCTTTTTGAAGCAGCATTTCCTCTTCTTCCAAAAAAGTCAAAATTTTCTGACTCCTTGGTTGCATCTTCCTTGTCATTGCTTTCAATATCATCACATACAGCTTCTGATTCTTTCTCTATCACAGATTCAGTTTCTCCTCGCCTGAAAAGACAGAATCAACTTTTGCTATCTCCTAAACAAGAAAATGTATCAAACTAACTCAAAAGTTATGTAAGGCCTAACAACTTAGGAAGACAAAGGATGCAATCAAACCTGGAAAACCAATCTTCTATGAGGCTGGCATATGGAAGAACATGAAAGTATTCCACTATGGAATTTGTGGCCCACTCGGAGAAGCTCTTCTCAAATAAAGGACCCTGCATACTATTTAGATAGAGAAGAGAAATAGAGGCTGATTAGAAATTTCAAGACCTCATTATCCAATCATGCAAATGCAACTAATGTGAAGTAAAGTGAGTTCAAGAATAACATCTGAAAGACCATCTTGCCAACATTTTGAAGTCAGTATCTAGTTGGATACAAGGTCCTTGGATTTGGCATAACTATTGCAGGTAGGGCATTTCCTTCAGATACCAAATCAACTTACCAACTAAGCACTTCTTCAATGGGATTTTGTCCAGAAAATTTGTCTTGTGAAGTGCACTTCATTATGTAAAAGCGGACTGCAGTCTTCTCTTCACTCAAGGAGAAAACCAAATGCCTCTCCAAGATCACAATGTCCTTGTGATTAACACCTGAAAAGATTCTAAAATTGTTGAGTAACTTACAGAAAGAATGCTATTACATATATAGAACACAGATGATGAGTCTTGCAAACAAACCTGCGGCCTCCTTAACAGCAGCAAATGCAACTTTTTGAAAGACGACCTCTTCTTTCTGATTAGCTATAGTAGCTTTCTCTTTCTCAATGGGGTTTTCAAGGAGTGACCACACACCTTGTGTGATGGAGCTGTGTTTAAGATAACAGTTCTTCTTCTCCGAATCAACTAGCAGAACTGCAACTTTCCTTATAGGCAACTTGTTCAAGAAAAAAATATCTGAAGACGCATCTAACCCCATGGATAAACGACATGCATCCACGATAACCTTCTCCAGCAGAACGGTATATTCTGAATCAGCATCTCGTCCAGACTCCTCCTTCAAATGCTGCAGCAGAGCAGGTCTCATATCCGTAGCTAAGTCACGGAAGGACTCAAGAGACAAACATTCAAGATGAGGATTGTCTTTTCTGTGGTAATAATTGTAAAGCAACACAAGAGCATGAACCTGAATCAAGACACAGAGGAGGCATTGGTGTCTAATAAGAGCAAAATGGGGAAAACCAAACCAATTAGAGAGACCGAGGAAGTTATAGAAAAGGACCTGCTTGGCGACAGATTCGCGGAGAGGTTTGGAGGGAACATCATGTGATTTGAATGGAAGCAAAGGGTCGACTAAGTAGACTAACAAAGCTCGAATGGCCTCCTCTGTGGGACAAGCATCAGAGGGTTCCGTGGTGGTCTTCGTGACTGGTAAAGTGCAATCCACCTCCTCCATTGAAGCCAAAATAATCCAACAGAAGAGGAAGAAGACGCCGAGTGGAGATTCAAGAAGCAAAGAAGCAGATGGAACAAATAAAAATAAAGTTGAGATTTTTATTAATGGGAAAGGAAAACCCTAGATTTTGATCTAAAAAGGTCTCATATTACCGTTTTTGGTAATGAGAGAAGAGTTGGAAATTTAGAAATGTGTCAGCTCAGCTCTCTCTCTCTCTAGTCTCCCTAGTAGTAAGTAACAAGGAGAAGAAGAAGAGACAAGACTCAAGAGTCAAGAGAGATCGATCATCTAAACTTCGTGTCTTTCTATTTTTTTTTTACTTTTTTTTTTTGTTAATAGTGGAAAATTCGGAAAGGCGCCAATGTGGATCTCTTTTGAGGGTAATATGGGATTTTCCTGTTGTTGTCCCATAAATTAATAGCTCTTCTTTTGTGGTTTGATTGACGCGATAGGACTGTTCAATTTTGAATTTTATTGACTTTTCGTGAAGACTCATAATAAAAAAAACTGAAGAACGTATTATGACGTTTGGGATTTTGTTTTGAATTTTCTCTACAACTTGTAAAAATCAGAATATCTCGAACAATTTGAGATTATATATATACAGTATAACTTGGCTCTGTGTTTTATAACTTGGCACAGCACGTACTGGTTCATGTAACATTTTTTTTTCCAAATTAATTTAGATGTTTTTGGGTCTTGCTGTATAATACTATTTATGTACTACTTCAGCAGAACAAAAGAAGCTGCATGTACTTTGTTTGTTTTATTGGAATTTTATTTTTAATTAAAGCATGTTTTGGTACAAGAGTCTTTGGATTTATCTATCAGCTTTGTTCTTTTCCTTCAAGTCCTGTTGTGTGTTTTGTGTGCCCCCTTGAAATGCAAGCAGCACAAAGACCAACTCATTTTATTCCATTATCACATTAGGAATCAAACACAATCTATCCAAGTTTGTCATTCTCAGAGCAAACCCAGGCACACACATTTGACTGACAAAGAACCTGAACCATGCTAAAACCACCACAACACCACTAGGAACAAAACACACGCAGCTCATGACATATGAAACAATCAACAACACTTCAAATCAATGATAATGCACCCAAAATATTAAACAAAGACTAATCGAGTTTCTGCACGACTCTTTGCTGCTTCTGCTCTTCAGCAACAGGTCGATCAGATTTTAAACAAATGCTTCCTTGATGAGTGTTATAACATCTTTTTCACAATGGAGAAAATGGAATGAATCAATCATAGTTGCTTCCAGAAAGAGCCAAGGGATGACTAAGAATTTACGAAGCAGATGGTTTTACACGTGATAATATGTATATATTATGCTGTGTGTGTCTCTCTATATATATGTATATATGCAAGATTTTAAGAATGTACCGGGTTTAGCATCCGGCTGCTTTCAAGAACTTATCATAAGGGCTCGAAGGCGGTAACCGAAAAGAATTCTGTGGAACTTCGTGAGAAAAGAACCCAAGCTGGCCTTGAGGTTGAACATCAGCCACAATCATTGCCTTCTGATCATCTTCACCAGCTTCTTCTGTCTGCAGCACACGAGAAAACAAAAAATGAGCACCAAACCAAAATTTTGTCGTTGACGAGATGACAATTAATGTCAATAGAACAGAGAACAAACTCCCACCTCTTTGAGAAGAAATTGTTCCTCCTTTTCATCGTCTTCTGAGAAAGTTATAGCTTTGGTTGCTTGGGGTTTAAAACTTCGAAGCACGGACATCTTTTGCTGCTTACCCGTCACAAGAGCTTCACACTGGTTCATCATTTGGTCATAAGGTACAGGAATCGAGGAAACAGGGAGACTTGCAACTTGCCGAGCAGTTTCTGATACCTACACATCACCAATGGAAAAACTACATTAATAAGGAGGACATGGAGGAGACCAATACAACATATTACTAAATATTGAGTTGAACTATTACCGATTCTAACAACTCGTTAACACTCAGAACATCTACTGGGTTGGTGTTTGCGGACAATGATGTTCTATGGCCAGACTGACTCCCACTAGCCCCCGGGGAAACTCCTTCAAATGCCACTATTTCTGAAAGCTCAACCTGAAAGATCCACCAAAATGCAATGAGAATCCCACGTGAAGCATGTTTCTCAGATAATCAGTATACCTCTTCAAAAGCTGGATGTTCTAATTGATTCAGAGGAGAACTAGGTCCTGGTGTATCCGTGAACAATTGTCCACCAAGCGGATGTGCATCATCTCGGCAAAAATCTGACTGAATTTCCTTTCTCAAATTTGACTGCTCTTCCTGAGAGCGTTACACAAAAAAAAATAAAAAAAATCAGATCAAGCGTGTGAAGTTATTGCATGAAAATGGTTTGGAATGCTCTAGAGAGTTTATCCTACTTTATTTTGTTTGGCTATGACTACATACACCGACCAAACACTGTATCAGGACAATATTTTGACTGATAAAAGACCAGGAGCTAAACTCATATTTATTTTTATGTTTATACAGCTTCATCTGATGTGTTGGATATAAGGTCAAACACTCCATCTGCTATAAATAACAGGACTATCATGAACACACCGTTCTATAATTTTAAACTAGACAATTACCTCGGATAATGTCTGAAATTTCGATGTAAAATGAGTAATCACAATTTCCTTCAGACGTCTATCATCTGCAGCAATAACTGAAGAACTGAGAGCAGCACTATCTTCTTTGTCAGATTCATACGCTTCTTCCTGTGGAAATCCAGAACATACAGCACGCAGTCTGATATCTCCTTCCATTACAAGATAAGGATCAACCTATATAGGACATGACGAATTGCACATACAGATCAAAAAACAGCTGAGCAGCCCGAAAACAAGAGATTTAGATAGAAAACAAGCGGATAAAGCTCACCATTTGGGCAGTTAAAGATTCTTTGACAATTGGGACTAGCTCCAGGATATTAGAAATCTTGGCACCAAAAATGAGCATATATGATGCAAATGTGAATATAGATCTTCTACGAGAAAGCTGCATACCTCCTTCAGAAATATACCAGCAATCTAGGTCAGAAATAAATTCAATAGAATGGGCAGTTAAGGGCAATTGAGTTACTCCTTTTTCATTTACAAGGAGAAGATGTCGCCTTATTTGCGTTTCATTTACACAACTAAAGTTCGAGCACCAGCTAATCTGTAACTAATAAGTAGTGTCTCAACAAAATATTTTAATTTCCAGAGGACCTTGTCCAATATGTAACTCCTAAACTGTAATAGAGTATAAAGGAACTTAAAAGCTAAACAATTGTTCCCTTTGATAAAATTCCTTGCATCCTGACTAGATGTTTGTTTTATCACCCTAATAGGTTCACAATATGAAGGTAAGAGACTATATATTATAATATTCACCACTATTAAAAGCACATCGCAAATCAATAAAAATGGCATGGAATACTCGAATGGAAATTCATCATAGTAAACAAACAATAAATGAAATCCGTTCATAATATCTAGCAACAAAGTAGGTAATTTTTTTAATGAAGCGAATAGCATTAACCAAAGTCTTTAACTTACCATCTTGATTCAATGAGAGATTTCGAAGAGAGAATGCAAGCTGAAAACACCGCACCAGAGCCATGTGATTTGATCTCTGCTTTGCAACGACAAAATCAGAGAAAAGTTCACAAAATCAAAAGACCCTCCCATCTAGATGGATTGCATCAAGAAATAAAGTTCATAACCACCATCAAATTCAGTTTCAAAAGCAGAGGGTTGTAAGTTCATTTTGAATCTGAAAGACTCAAAATGTCACGGGCAAGAATTCCAGAGGAATTATCCACTGTAACCAGAATAAGGAATACCAACATTCCATCACCATTTGGTATGGTGGTATATCTAGAACTTCTAAATACATTGCGTCAAAGCTAGAGTATGCTGTTGACACGATCTATGGTCCTTTTTTACTTAACATAAGATGCATCGACTAACCTTTGCCAATGAAAACAGTAAGGTGATTTGATATGTGCTGGCCATGGCTTCAAAATTTTCAGGGGCATTCTCGGTAGAAGTTGCTTGGATCCATATGGATGAAAGAAGCATATTCACTTGGTGACTACTTAGTCGGAGCGAACATAATGACTGTAACAGCATGCAATCTCGCTATAGTTAGCTAAATAAATACACTCAAATCGATAAGAAAGTGACAATTACTATAATTGGAGGGTGGGAGGGAGCGCAAAGAAACATAGATTTAGAAAATTAATACCTTTATACCATCTTCTACATCCTTTAAGCTGTCCAAGGACTGACAACTAAACTGTTGACTGGTTTGTCGTGATACAATTGGATGAGATGTGTGGTTTACATCTTTACGCAGTTCACCGTTCTCTTCCTCCTGTAAACTAATACTCTGGTTCCTTACTGTACATTTTCCATCAACTGACAATATCCCAGAAACAAATTCCGAGGTTTCCTTATGCTGAACTGACCAAGGCAAACGAAGAGTTCGAAGAAGCACGATGGAGAAAATATTGTGTGCCTCGAATCTAGTCTTACAATCTGCATGGGACATCGCAAGGAGCAGTTGGTGAAACAAGGCATCCGGAAATACCTGGGAGGGACAGACCACAGTACTTTTAGAACAGAATAACTATCGATAGTCAAATACAAAAAAAAGTCCCAGAAAAATATTCAATTACTTTCTTGTGGTAAGAAACATTTGGGACCACCGATACTATATGTGCAGCTCTGAGAATGGCTGATGCTGTGGTTCTAGAAAGGACAACATTAGTGGATAACGTCTCAAGAACGACTGCCAACATATCAAGAATGGGCCCTGCATCCCCAACCTTAAAAGCAACAGAAAAAAAAATTGAATAAATTTATGGGGTTTGTATAACATATTACATAAGATAAGTATAAGCTGCTTGGTGTTTAAATTCTAATGTGGTTATGGGGGTATTGAAGTAGTCTTCGCAGTTCGCACACTACAGATCATATAGGGTTTGATGCTATATCAAGAAATCCGAAACTTTAAGCCAATAACACCATAACAATCATAATCACTGGCTATCTACTAACACCTTGACTAGGTAAGAACAGAATCAATTAGGACTTAAGTTATGATTACTAATATACAAAGCTACTGCTGTTTATCTAGCGTATATCTTTTCACAGAATCAAATTCCCAATCGAGTTGTTACAATCAATTAGGGCTACTGCTGTTTTTCATACAAGCAAATCATATAATTTGAAGAACGATTAAACTTGAAGCCGAGTTCTGACTGTTGAAAAATTGTAATATCTGATGTATTAAGACATATAATAGACAGGAGGATACAACCAATACTTGTGGAGAGGATCAGATCAAAACCACGGAAAACAAAAAGGAACATAAACCAATCCAGCTGACCTTATTTGAGAGCTCTGCAATGCAATTTTCTAACGCATGCTGGAGGTCCGAGTTCTGCTTCGTTTCATCAGCAGACACATCTGATTCAGCTGCATTTTGAAGGCATTTCCGCAAGTGCTTAATCAGGTCAGCTATTACAGCAGTCATCGCGCCTGAAGCCTGCTGCTTAGCATGTAGCACAAGGCATGTGGCTACGTTAACCATGTTAACTTGAAGACCTTGTTGTTTCATTACATTCTTATGATCCAAATGCTTGATCAAAGAAGATACCAGCACATGACAATTCTCTCCTGCATAAATACTTCTTTAGTCAGTTGTCACATCAGACAAGTTAGAAAGTTGCTGTAATATCAGGAACAATAGCAGATTAAATATATCATCTGACCTGATTCTTCCAAACGAGACTGCAGAAACAATAAAACAGAAGAGGCAACACCCTTCTGTGGATACCAGTAATCTCCATTGTCAAAAGCTGTCAAAAGCGGTTCCAGAACCCGACGAACTGTTGTAGTTTCCTTTGCTAATTTGGCTATATTGCAAAGGCAAACCATTGACCAGTATGAGGGGCTCCTCAAAATATCCCTAAATAGATTAAATGAATAAATTAAATAACATATAGATGATGCATTCCAGTGGTCGTAAGAACTAGTGAATAAATCGTTAAGGAGAAACTTTACATGTTTTCCAACTTGTAGTCAGTCACCAGATTAGGTTTGAAAGAAACCTTTGTACTCAAGTTGGGAATCTTCGTTTCTGAAATTTGACCAACTTCTTTGGAGTCTTCTTGGCCTTTCTCCAAATCCATATAATTCTCCAGAATCACAGAAATAATCTAATTCCAGATAAAGAAAAGGTTCACAATCTAACTACAACACTTGTATATCTATAAGCATGACCAGCAGAAGTTGAAGTATCTGATGACTCACCATATCCAAGTCCATTGATAATTGAGAATGCTCACCAATGAAAGATACCTGGCAATTACTATCGATTAGTAGCACAAAGCTCTAAGTATAAAGTATAAACAGATGTGGACTTTGCACCACACAAGATGCAGCTCTAGGATGAAGGTCAAAGTTAAAATAGGATTTCAGTAAATGAGAAACTAACGACAGCATTGCCTTTTTAACTGTAAGGGAACTATCTATTAAAACTAAACAAGTCGACCATAAATTCTAGACTAGCTGAATAAGGACAAGCACCATGCTTAAAATGTTATCTTGAACAAAGTATCCATCATTAAGGGTGTCCATTATGAGTATTCAGATCAAAATTATATGTAATTATAACCCGTTCCACTAACAGAAGTTCAAAGCAGAAATTATGGCTATCTGCAACAAGAAGGGAACATGACCCATAACATATTGCACATATCCATATTCATAGGGTATGTTCTCTGTGTAAGAATGCTATATCTAACGGGAATGTTTCTGTCAGTTAAACAAAAGAAAAAGTAAATAGAAAAAGCACTACCATGAATGCCAAAGCCTGCATTCCTGCTGAACGTAATCGGAGTGATCTTTCATCATCCCCCATTTCTTGAGCAAGTTGACAGAGTTTAGGGATTAGACCTTCTAAGTTGAACATGTGCGAATTCTCAGTCTGTATTTAAACAAATGTGTTACCATATGCAGTGGCTAGCTGGACATGTAGCTTGCGAAGAGACATGTAACCATGCCTCAAAAAATGCTAAATGTACCTGTAAACTTATAAAGTCAACAAGGGTATTGCAACCCAAGATCTGAACTTCTACATCTCGTGTTTGCTCCAAAAGAGTTCGGACAATGCTTAGCAAGCTACACGAAAATAGAGGCCTACAAGAAAAGTTGATAGTTTCAGCAAAAAATAATAAAAAGTAAACAACGAAACTGGAAAGAAATCTACAAAGATAAGGGAATGCGAAAAAAAGATGATCAGGCAACAAGAAAAGAAAACCCAAGCAATATCTCTGAAGATCTAATTTTTTAAAAGTGAAATACTAGTTCTAGGTAACCAGATAATGTCTAACCGCGTTTATCCTGAAGGAACAATTACTTACATCTGCTCCTTACATGATGAAAGCAGTTTCTTATAAATGCATAAGACAACTTTAACTGATCCAATATTTCCATTTCGCAATTCTTTGTAACATTTCTGCTCAAGGTACTCTGTAATCTGTCATAAGAGAAGAGTGCAACACATGAGAATAGACAAGTATGCCACGACAATTCCAAAGGGAATAACAGAAAAAAGCAACAACCTTTGGGATTCGTAAAGGATTCCTTGACGCATACTCACAAAGCTTGCCAATTTTTCTATCATTTGGCTCAGCTTCCTGCCAAATCACAAGATGGGAAAACGTTGAAGCTTGTATCATTCTGTGTAACAAAACCCATCTAAGTATTTCGTTGGGAACCCATTCCACACAGATTTCAGCAAGAAACATGTAAATTCTTTCGGAATTAAAAGTAGTTTCCTATAGTAAAGACCGGAACTTTAAATTTTTCTGCAGAAGTTATTCAAAAAGCGTAAAACTTAAAGACAAACCCGTATTACATCTCAATAAAAGTAAGTGGAATCCCTCAGCAAATGAAAGAGATGGGAGTGAGTTGTAAGGTAGACCTGATTACGAGGGAAAATTTCAGCGAGCATTTTCTTGTAGCGTTTAACGGGATGCCTAGACCTTGCCCTCAAAGAAGGACAGAAGAAACAGAGGTTACCACAGGCGGGTAAAACCCGTCTGGACATAACCCCCATTTTCTTCTCTGCCTCGAATCCCCCCTGCAAATTCCCACATCAGATTCTATCTTCAAACTAAACTTTGCAAGCAACAATTTTTAATTGAAGACAACAACATAGAAAACTGTGTACCCAGCAGCAGCACGATTTGATGGGAACCCTTAATTCAGGAATCTAGCAACCGAGATCGCAATCCAGAGCACCCTGAAAACCCAGCAAAAAAAAAAGGGGACAATTTTAGATTCCGCGATCCCAGAAAAGGAATCAAATTTAGGAAATTACGAATCCAATAATCAGAAGGAAACAAAAAAAAAATAGAGAGATGAAGGAAGGAAGAAAAAAATCACCAAGAAGATGGGAAAAGCCAGAGAGGCAGCTGGCTGGCTGGCTGAGGGAGGGAGGGAGGGGAGAAGAAGGCAAAATCTAATCCCGCTCGCCCGCTTAGAGGTGGCATTGCTCTTCTCTCTCGTCTTTTTATCATTATTATTTAAATCTCATAATTAAAAAAATCCTTCAAAAGTTCTCTCTCTCTCTTTCCGCCATTAATGTCGGAAAGTGTCAGTCCGAATTCCTCCTAAACTACCAATGTACCCCTAAAATTGAATTATCCTGTTCCTGTCTGGCTGGATCCACCTGCGCTTATGTGATCCGGGTTGTATACGGTCCGACCTTTTGAAGATTGCTGCGATGGATCCAATGAACCAAACCGGGCTAATCATCTAGGATTCTTGACCAGCCAGAGTGTTCCTTTTTTTATTTTTTAATTAGCTCGAAATGCATAGGTATTATTATCTTCCTCTTTTTTCTTTTGTGTTACAGGCTTACAGCAATCATTATCTTTGATTAAACTTTGGAAATTCTGATGTAAAAGTTGACTATTTTGGATTTTAAATCGGTTTGGGATGTTTTTTCTTGGTTTGTTTCTTTGGTTCAAAAGAACATTAATTACATGATTAAACCGAAAACTACCTTTCTGTTATACACAATTTATGGTTTCGTTAGAATGTCTGTTCCAACATGGAAACAGTGTAAATATCTTTTATCCCAATTAAAAAAAAAAATGTCAACTGGGGGTTCTAACTAATTAGCAATGTGCAAGCATACACTTATTCACAGGACTTCTTCAATTTTGGAGATTTAGTCCAGCCAAAGAACTCTGAATGTAGAACACCAAACACATATAAAAAGAAGCGGAGTAAAAGAGAGTAGAACATGTCTCTAAAGCTTCAATATTGCTTCGCTTGAGCATTCAGAGTAAGAGGAGATGAAGGTTAAACTAAAAACATATCCTATTGTCCTCTAGAAACACAGTTCATCACATCCATCACAGAGAAAGGTATCAAGATCCCTACACCTAATCTCCTAAGCAAAATACCATCCCTCGGTTTTCAGAAATTCTTACAGCAGTTTTCCCTTACTACTACTTAGTTAGACTCTTAACCCTCTTATCGTACCTATTACAATTGGCAGAGTACCCATCACTAGGAAATGGTGCCTCTCTAGCGATAAGGATAAGACTTGATGTTGTAGCAGTCAGCCAGTTTCTGAGCAACACCATCGTGGAGGAGTTTATCACACATCTCAAACTTCTTATGATGTGTTATGGCGGTCTCAGCTTGCTGTTTAGACAGCTTGTCTGCCTCCTCGAGCTGTTTCTGAAAACAGAAAACAAGAAAACACATTCACAAGAGCAACAAAGTCCTCAACAACAAGAGAATATACACCATCAGATCCCATGCAACAGGAAGAGAGAGAGCAAAGAAACAGAAAAACAAAAGTACCTTGAGCATAAAAGAAGTTTCAGCAGTATGTTTACGAACAAGCCGCTTCATTTTCTTAGCCTTGTCGAAATCAGGATCATTGGGGTTAATCCAGCGAAAACGGATCTTTCTACCAGGCTTCTTAGGTCGATCAACAAACATATGAGGATGAGAAGGAGTAGCTCTCACAGGCCTGGGCATTCCAGCAACCATGAAAGGTAACTGAGTGACAGTGGCGGTAACATCCTTGGCCATCTCTTCGGTCTCCATCTCAACTAGAACACCAATAGGAAGCTCCTTTGGACCCAAGAAGTTTGGAATGAAGCTGACACTCTTGACAGTCCCGAACTGGTTAAACGCAGCCTCAATAACCGGATATGTGGCAAGAGGTGTGAGCTCGTCTATATAGACAGTACGCCGAACTCTCTCTAGAAACTTCTCATACTCGACTTCTTCCGGAGTAGCCATCACTAAACCAAATTACAAAGAGACATAACGAGAAACGAATTAGAAACTCAGAGAAGCACAATATCGAACGAAATTGACTCCACACCCGTCAAACATAATCAAATTGCATCAGAACTCAACGCGATTAAGAAATTCCAGAGTACATTCATGGCGAAAATCTAGGGTTTCTATATATGTTCCTCGTATAGAATTCGTTTCACACAGAGATGAAAACTCAGACAGACTACAAGCAAAATCAACAAAGAATTGAAGAATTGAAACATAGAGATGAAAGTATTACCCTCAGATACAGAGACAAAAAAATCGCACTCGAAAGGTAAGATGGGGAAGACTTGAGCAAACACGGGGATATCGATCTTTCCGATACGAACGACCGAGAAAGGAGCCGCCGAGAGAGAGAGAGACGAGAGGAGAAGGCTGTGAGTGGTTCCGGAGATGTAATATAATTAGAAAGGCCTTGAGCTCAGAGATCTGTATTTATATATAATAATTGACATTTTAGTCAGAATGCCCGTATAGCTCAGTGGTAGAGCGTCAGTCTTGTAAACTGAAGGTCCGCAGTTCGATCCTGCGTGTGGGCACTTTTTTGAATGTTTTTTTATTTTCCAACCTTTAAACAATCATCTTTTCCAAAATTAGATCTTAAGTAAAAAATTAAGATTCCGTAGTAAGTGGGTCGCCACTTCGTCAGGTATTTTTTTTTTTTTTGGGTAGCTGCCTTTTTCTTATATGAAATAAAATTTCTCTCTCGTTTTCAAATAGTTTTATAGTATTTAAATAATTTTTATGAATTTTACTTTTTTGTAATTAAATTATATTTATAATGTAAAATAATTAAATAACTATACTTTTTACATAATACTGCATTAATTATGTTTTGGGTAATATTGAGGTCGATTGGTAACGACTGTTACTTGTGGCTGTAGAGACTTTAACTTTAAAATTTTGGCTGCAGAGAATTTGGCTGTAAATGCTTTGGCTGTAAAAACTTTTACTGTTAAAATCTGATTGGCAATGAACAACTTTTAAAGTTATGTATGATATTTTTATTATTATTATTTTATATTTCTAATAAATATAAATTATATCACAAATGAATTTATAAAATAAAAATATTATTGAAATGGATCTTAAAAGAACAAGAAAAAAATGAGAGTAATTAATTTATAAAAATAAAATATATAAAATATATTTATAAACTTGTGAAAAGGTTTTAAATGTAATAGGGATATGAAAAATAAATCTTTTTAATTGATTGAATTTAAAGTCAGGTTTTTGACGCTTTAAGAAAAATTCGAAAACAAAGAAAGAAAAAAATGAAGTGACTTTTAATGCTTTAAAAAAAATAAAAGCAAAAAATGTTGATTGGCAAATTAATTACTGTTAAGGCTTTAAAACCATTTTAAAGCCTTAAAAGTCATCACCAATCGCCCTCATTATTTGTATAAGCTTTAGAACCCAGTAACACAATGTGACCTCAAAATCAATCATCATATATACCAATCAATTAATTAATTAGAGACTAAATAATTAAATTGGCGTGTAAACCATAATCCTTGGATTGGAAAATATTTGATAAAAGGTGCAAAGTTTGAAAATATTTCTCTTTTTATTTTGTACTAGAAACGGACCCGCGCTACAGCGCAGGGGAATATTGTAATATATGCCATTAATAATAGATTGCAATATATTAAATTCATATTTTTGCATTCGACTACGATGAATTATAATAAGATTGTGCAATGAGTTTAGAATAAATAGTAGAAGGAAAAAAGCGAGTGAAAATGGTAATATAATGAGTTTTGATTTAATATAAAATAATATAAAATTTAACAGCCTAAAACGATATGTAATTCAATTTGATCATTTTAGTAGTATAAAAAATAATAATATAGATAAAATATTGCATTTGGAAAAATTACATACTCACAATGTATGTTGTGACAAACCAACCCGAAAAAACCCGTGTAATCAAATTCATAATTGATTTTGATAGTTGTAATCAACTAAAATACATGATAAAAAAAATTTATATACCTATATCACATAAGAACATATGAGTTTGAAAAATTTACAATATTTTTGATGTTCCTCTACAAGAATTGTAAGGGTTTGTAAGGGTTCCTAGCGCTATATTCTCTTCTACTAATATAGAAATTTCATATGATTTAAAAAATATTCTAACTTAATATATTATAATATGAAAATAAATGTAGTAATTTAATTCTGACTGTCGTTTAATTATAAATACTAAAACTACATGGGGCTATATATGTTAGGCCCGTTTATAATTTCTTGTAGCATATTGGGGGCTATTTGTAATTTTTGAAGATGCTTTTTCTTCGACAATGTAGTACAAATGCAGAAACTTAATCAACAATTTCCAGGTTTCTTATTAATCTTTGATTTCTCCCTTGCTTTCTTAACGATTGAATATACTCTGATGTTTAAGTCTTTTAAACCATTTCTTCTAATTATATTATGCTAAAACCAAAGAAGCTCCATAATATAACCCCAATTAAGATGCGGAAACTTTTTTCACCACGAAGATGCATATGTGTTGAAGATTTCTGTATATTTGTGTACAGAATTTTGTTTTAAGGGAAATTAACATATTTTAAAAATTCATATTTGCATATTTTTAGATAGATAATTAAATCGTATCCATTAAGATTTCATAGTTAGAATATAATCACAAAGATTGCAGAATAGTTTACTAATTAGAATATTTTGTGGAGATTGATATCTTGTTATGGTAATATTCAACATAATTTCCTAAAAATGGGCATATGTTAATCACAACTATTATTATTATATTTGCCAATATATGCATATATCGTTAATGTGATTTCCTAAAATAGTGGACAATTTTTCCGTCGCATAAACCGCTAACCTGCATTTAAAGCTTAGTAGTATTGCTTAATATACCATGTTCGTAAGTAAATACTTAATATAGTTAGTTATATCCATATCCGATTATTTTTAACCCAGTTGAAAATTTGAAAGTATCCATTACATCAATTTCGGGTATTTTGGGATAGATTTCAATTTTGACCCGACCCATTTCATTTTTGTACTTCTCTTTTATTAATATAGGGATTAATGGATCTAAGTTAATTAACATTTTTTTAAGAAACTACACTATGATACATTTATTAGATCAATGGTTGCCACAAAAAAACTGCCGTTCAGTGAATAAATTAATCGTCCATCCACAACCACAATGACAAAGGATGCCAGATAACATAATGAGAGATAAAAAATGAGAATTTTAAAAATTATACAGAGCCAACAAAGAAACATAGATCAGAGACATGGAGCCGACAACTCGAACGCCTTTAGAAAACACACATTACATCGCCGGAAAAATAAAATATAATACAAGATTTTTGGTTAAACATTCTTCAAAAGATACACAAATCGATTGATCAATACAAGATTTGATAAGTTGACTCAAGTTATCCCCTAGACTAGTACCGTTTCTTGCTTTTCTGTTTGGTAAACCGAAATAACAATCACAAAAATGAAGAATGTTATTTAAAAACAAATTTGATTCCATGAAGTGATAAGAGTTGTTGTTGTATCCGTTTAAAAACCCCCCACAACACAACTAACATGTCCTCTTTACCGATTAGCAAATATCAAAGAAAGACAAATCTTCAATATATCTCCTTCTTCCTTCCTCCCTATCTTTGGCTAATAAAAATTTGACTGATCATTTTATTAACAGCTTCCTCCTACCTGCCCTCACCCTTCTCATTTCTTCCTCCAACGAGAGAGAGAGAGAGAGAGAGATGGATCCGACAGAGCTAAAACGCGTGTTCCAAATGTTCGACAAGAATGGGGACGGGAAGATCACGGGGAAGGAGCTGAGCGAGACGCTGCGGAGCCTAGGGATATACATCCCCGACAAGGAGTTGACACAGATGATCGAGAAGATAGACGTGAATGGTGACGGGTGCGTGGACATAGAAGAGTTTGGGGAGCTTTACAAGACGATAATGGACGGGGAAGACGAAGAGGAAGAGGACATGAAGGAAGCTTTCAATGTGTTTGATCAGAATGGAGATGGGTTTATAACGGTGGAGGAACTGAAGGCGGTTTTGTCTTCCTTGGGGCTCAAACAAGGTAAGACGTTGGACGATTGTAAGAAGATGATTAAACAAGTGGATGCTGATGGTGATGGTAGGGTTAACTACCAAGAGTTTAGACTAATGATGAAAGGCGGTGGCTTTTGTGCTCTTAGCTAAATATGGTTTTTTAAAAAGTTGTTTCCCTCATCTTTTGTGATTTTTTGTATTCTTGATTTTTAATTCAATTGTTTTAGGAATGATAGACAACTTAGTTGGCTGTATTTTTGGTTTGTTTTTCCTAACATATAGTTTGAGTTTCCATATTGTTAGTTGTTGCTTCCGGCATTGGGAAAATATTATATATCCTAAGAATTAAAATGTTTAATAATGTGTGCTAGCTGCTTGCTTGAGTTTTAAAGATGTGTTTGGTTAAACGTAATGAGAATATCATTTATCGTGGGAAAGTGCAATAACTTTGAAAGATTCAAAACCCTAGTATCTTGGAAAAGTGGAGGTGTGATTTCTTCAACGTAAACAAGCAAAATCAACTATTAGAGAGATTACCTCATGTAACTCACTCTTCTATGAATATTTACAAAAGGAACAGTAGAGAGCCTGGTTTAATTCGGTTCTACGAAATTTGTCTATACCGGCTTTGAAAATCCGGTCTAATTCTTATTATGAACCAGATCGGTTACCATGATTGTTCTCTTTCTCACTCTCGAGTCTTTAGAGAAGCTTGAAATCTAAAAAAGTCTTTCTTTGACATTTCATCTCTCCGAATAGAGAGAGAGAGGAGGAGGCATTCATCGCTTTCAAGCTCTCGAGGGTCTTTCTTTGAATCGAAAAAGGTATCTCTTTTTTTCCCAGATTTTTTCTATGTATCTATTTCCGCCCCAAAATTCGTCACATTGGCTCGATATCGCTAATGTCAATCAACTCAAACCCAGCAAGCACTTGTCATTTTGGAGCCACACGAAAGTAGCTATCAGTTTTCAGTTTTGTATATATACATTATTTTTAATCTCCAATTACAGTTTCTCGTTTTGCTGTATATAGAGGGATTGATTTAGGGTTGGGTTTTTCAATCAAGGGTTTTGAAGCAGCGATTAGCTGTCATCAATTTCGTTCCTGGAATCTGAGAGTTCTTGAGGCTCTATGTGTTTGGGTTACAGTCATACAGAATTTTCGTAATCTGGCTTTGACTATGTGTATATCTTAATCATTCAATTTAGGTCTCTAAACCTCGTTGAGATCACGTTTAGCTTACTGTAGGTTGATACTTGTTTCGAAATGGTTGATTACTAGTTAACCTTTAATCCCCAGCTAGGTTGAACGCTTCTACTTGATTAGTTTCGAACCTTGTTCAACTGTTCTAGGTTTCTTTCTGATCACTGTCTAGCCAAAACCGTTTTTGGGTTTTAGTTTGGTCCTGCTAAACGTCCTGGAATGCATTTGTGATGCTAGGAAGATGGGAAGAGAGAAGAGTCCTGGCTTGAAGATCCTCTGGGTCTGGACTATCGGCACTGCAGCTAGTATGATACTCTTTCTGTCATTCTACTTACGAGTTTCGTCTACCCTTGCCTCTCTGTTTATATATTCTCTGTGTATACATCATGAGTTCATAGCTACGTCTAACAGTGACCAGTCCTTTTACTTGTTTCCAGTTTTAGTGACGAGTGTTGTCCGCACAAGAATGCAGGACATGCAATCAATGATAAACCAGAACCAGGAACAAGCACCGAAACAAAACCAGAACGGAGGTGCAGCTGATTCTTCCGTCTTAACGGATGAAACGATTCTGCCCGAGTCGGATCGAGAGATTGCGAAAGAACTTAAATAAACAAGAGCTTGGTTTTTTCTTCTTTTCGCACTCTTCCTTTACGGTAGTCCATGGACAGGATGAAACAGCAGATTTCAATGGGTTTTTGTATTTGTAGTTTGCGAATATGATTATAAGATTCTATTTATGTTTCTAGGAGAATAACTTGAAAAGTGAATCGACCAAGAAGCTTGATGAGGAGTGCATAGCAGGGTTTTATTTTTTTTGTTCAAGTGAATTTTGTTAAATTTTGTTAAGTTTTGATAAAGAGTAGAGTTAAGAGTGTTTTGGTCTTCTCCACTATCCAAATTCCAACGTATTCAATTCCCATGATCAAACCATATAGAAATATTGAATTCAAACCTTGTTCGCTGTATCAACTACTATTATGGTACAAATGAAAATCAGATAGAAGAAATATTTGCAGAAATGCTAATATATCTCAAAATTCAAGATATAGTAAATCTACAATTTCTATAAGTTTAATAGAAAGGACTTCAACAAATTCAAACCATATCTTCACTCCTCTTGAACCCTTGAATATATAAACAACTCCAAACTTCATTCACTTTTCATTCCTTCCATCTCTCAGAACGCAAACGTTCAAATGGCATCATCCACCGGCGAGAAAGGCCTCATCGTTAGCTTCGGTGAGATGCTCATTGATTTCGTCCCTACCGTATCTGGCGTCTCCCTCTCCCAATCTCCCGGATTTGTCAAAGCTCCTGGCGGTGCTCCTGCCAACGTTGCCATCGCCGTGTCACGTCTCGGAGGTCGCGCCGCCTTTGTCGGGAAGCTTGGCGACGATGAGTTCGGTCACATGCTCGCTGGAATCTTGAGGAAGAACGGTGTCGCCGATCAGGGGATCAGTTTCGACAAAGGAGCAAGAACTGCACTCGCCTTTGTGACTCTACGTTCTGATGGAGAGCGAGAGTTCATGTTTTACCGGAATCCCAGCGCCGATATGCTTCTCCGGCCAGACGAGCTCAATCTTGAACTAATCAGATCCGTACGTAAATATTTTTCTCTGTTTTCAAGTTTTTCTATTCGTTTCATCTTTTAATTTCATTATTTGTTTTTGCAGGCGAAAGTGTTTCACTACGGATCAATAAGTTTGATAACGGAGCCATGTAGGTCGGCTCACATGAAGGCAATGGAAGTGGCGAAAGAAGCCGGAGCTCTTCTCTCCTACGACCCCAACCTGAGGGAGCCTCTTTGGCCATCGCCTGAAGAAGCTCGGACTCAGATCTTGAGCATCTGGGACAAGGCTGACATCATTAAGGTCAGTGACGTCGAGCTTGAGTTCTTGACCGGAAACAAAACCATCGATGATGAGACAGCTATGTCTCTCTGGCATCCCAATTTGAAGCTCTTGCTTGTTACTCTCGGCGAAAACGGATGTCGTTATTACACTGAGGTAATGTTCATTCATAATCACTTGACCAATGGTGTGCTTTTGATTGATGCTCTCTTGTAAACTTACAAAACAATGGTTTGTAGAATTTCCATGGATCTGTTGAAACCTTTCATGTGGACGCGGTGGATACAACCGGAGCTGGTGATTCTTTCGTTGGTGCACTTCTAAACCAGATTGTTGATGATCAATCTGTATTCGAGGTAACCCTCAGTGATCTTGTGTGTACTTTTAATTGTATGAATCTTTCTTAGTCGATCAAATTTGATTTACCGATATCCTTGTCTTAGGAGGAAGAGAGATTGAAAAAAGTACTAAGATTTGCAAACGCTTGTGGAGCCATCACGACAACTAAGAAGGGAGCCATTCCAGCACTTCCTTCAGATTGTGAAGCTCTCAGCTTTCTTGAAAGACAAGCAGAAATGTAAAACCTATCCTTAGTCAACAATTCTCCTTGTCCATTGTAATTTTGTGTTTTTGGATTCCTGCTGATGTTTCTGTTTTGTGGTAAAAGGGTCCCAAAGTTATTCTTCTTTGGTCCTCTCTTTGTCTCCTCTTTTTCTTCTTCAATCTATTGAATAAAACAGACTTGTGGTTTCTTACTGTCACAAGTTTTTTTAGTTTTGGGTCTGTAAAAAGCAGAGAACTAAACATGAAGAAACGAAAACCTAAGAAAACAGAGCAGACACATTTAGATTCGAGAGCATAGATTACTGACCATGTTCGAGACGTATGAACAAACACAAACACAGGCATCACAGAGATTCGGACAAAAACGAAAAAGAAACATGTTATAAGCTCTTTCAACATATCTTACACAACTTACGACAAAACTAAAAACTCCATACAATGATACATCATCCTTATGCAGATAAGCTTCTTGTTTTACATTGAAGATATGTCTACACATAGTTTACATATAATAGCTCTTTAGCCAAGATCAGGAACAATGAAGTGCTCCTCGTCATCATCATCATCTCTGATGTCAAACCTCGGCTTCTTGTAGGGAACATTCGACTTCATGGGTTTGTATGAATGAACATGACCTAAATGCGAAACAGAAAGCTCAGGGACTTCAGCTGCAGGAAGAGCCTCTTGATTAATCTGATCACCAAAGAAACCCATGTCTGAAAACCACTCAAACTCCCCTGCCCCGAGATCAAGCTGTCCTTTCTGCTCAATTATAGACAATAAGAAGTCAATACAAAACATGCTATGCTGCAAACAATGTAAGAAACATTGAATATCGATCTCATGTCTACCTTATCAGTGGATTCAATGTCAGAGAAGTGGAGGAAATCGTCAACAGCCCAGGGAAGTGGAGTAGCAGAAGCAGGTTGATGCTGCTGGCTTGGGGTTTTTGCAGGAATCTGACTAGCTTTCTGTTGGTTGTTGGAAGGCTCAGTGTGATTCTTCTCCAATTCTTTATTGCAACTAGTAGAGGTGAGAGCTACTTTGATACCAGTGGCCAAGAACCTCTGGTGATTAGCAGATCGAGAATTAGCTACGTGGATGGATTCATCGCAATCCCTGCAAAGCAGAGCTCTATCCTCTACACAGAAAATGAAAGCTGCCTTCTCCTGCAAGTCATAACGGTCATGATGAGCAAAACTCTAGTGCCTTCTTAAAAAAGGAGGCATACATACAAATCTGCTGCAGATCTTATATAAAAAACACAACTTGGAAACAGAGCAATATCCAAAACTAATGAATCTACAAAATCTATGACGAGATCTAATCAATAACAAGCTGGAGAGAGAAAGAGAAAGACAGAGAGACCGATCTCTTACTTGGCAGATATCGCAACGAGGGAATTTGGTGGAGAGAGAGTTGAGGTGAAGGCGTTGATGCTTGCTAGCGAGTTTGTTAGCGGCGTGAATCTCGATGTCGCAGTTAGGGCAAAGAGCAGCTTCGTCGGCGCAACAAATCACCGTGGCCGGAGCTTTCTCACACACATCACACTGTATCTTCATCTTTTACAGAGGTTTAGAGACAAGAACAGGGGTTTCTCCGGAAGAAATCAATCAGAAAGATGTTTTTAAAGAAAGGATGTTTGTTTGCTTGTCTGGCACTTCCGAGAGTAGCTAAGCACAAGTTTAGGTTTTCAGAAAGGGCTTTGAGAAGATAGAAAAAAAAAAAACAAGTTGGTGGGAGGGAGGGAGCAATTGGTGGAGAATGAAAGAGAGGAGAAGAAGAAGATAAGGATTTGATGAATCTGCTGTCTAGTGCCTGCCTAGTAGTAATGGATCTGCTGCGATGCGTATCAAAAGGAAACACTCTGCTTCTTCCAGCAAGGTCCCGTGGGTCCCACGCTTCTTCTGTGGCTCTCCTTCTTCCTCGCGTCATCTTTCTCCTTTCCGATATTATTTCTTTATTCCCACTTCGCTCCTGCCTTTTTGTTTTTCCATATTTTACTGATATTTTTTTTTGTTTTGTTCTCACCAGTTTACTAATCCAGTCAAATATGTACAACGGAATCTTTCTCGGCTTGCTCATTGCTCAATATTAATTAATTTATTCAATTAACAAAAGTATTTGATTTGTGAGTAAGCTCGAATTTCAAGTTTAGTTGGAAAGAATCTTTATACAAAAAAATGTGTTGTCACCATGAGGAAAAGAGTTGGGTTTCAATCAAAATCATAGAGTTTAGACAAAAGTGAGACTCTTCCGGAAGTGGAATATTACACGATACGACTACACGTAATCTGGATATCGACATGTTAATTTGGAATGACAACATGTTATGTAATATGTACCATTCCTTCCATCAGATATTTTTTCTTCTTTTTTGTTTTTTCTCAATCATAAAAACGACTAATGCAATCATTACAAGAAAACTTAGTTAAGTCTGTTCTACAAAGAAAAATAAATCATCCACTATGAATTGTTGTTGGATATCCATATTAGTAAAAAAAAACCAATCTATACACATTTGCAGTTTTGATCAGAGTTGAGAATGTTGTTTTAGTTTGGTAATGAAATCCAAAACAATTTTTAAAGAATTGTAAAAGCTTACTCCCCAAAACAATTACTGCTTCTGCACATGTTCATCTTTCTGGATACTACCATTACAAGTATTGTTCATGTTGGCTGTATCTTGATTTAGCAGATTAGAGAATCCATTACCAATCGATTTCCACCAGCTCGACCGCTCTGAGCTAGTCTGATCCCCATTACTGGACAGCTCAACAGACGTGGCTGACTCCGTCTGCAGCTCAGAGAACCTCACAGCTCCTAATAGCTTTTCTGGAAGCTCTGCTTCTGTCTGACTCTCAATGAGGAACGCAAGATCAACTGTCAGTGTTGTAATATAGCCAAAGGCGAGATGAACTATGGCACTAGCGACCATTGATGAACCGATATCAACATCAACCTCCACAAAGTTTTCTCCTAAAACATATTTGCAAGAGAGTGCACGTCCAATCACACAGATGGCTTGCTCTCCAACAGCTTTCCTTACAATCCAAGGGCCTTTGACAATGTTTGCAATCAGCTTAAGCCTAGATTTCTTGAGCCCATCATCTCCTTTCAGAAACCGATCCATCATGGAGCCTTCAAGTATAGGCTCAGTGGTAACAAAGTAAGCCACAGCACTGTAATTGTCTTTGTGAGGAAGCTGAAGATTGAATGCCCAGACAAAAGGCTTAGTGCCATCAGTTTGAAACTCATCATCGATAGCTTTCCTGATTCGGCTGCTCGGATAACTCAGGATCTCAGACAGCTTCGTGGGACCTTTAATCCAATCAAAACCGAGAGGCTTTAGAAGGAAATCACCAGCAGGCATTTTAACTTTGTCAGAGAAATACTTGGGGCCTCTAACCATAAATGTGTCAGGAGATGGCGTAGTCCAACCATTTTTGCAGTCTTCTGGCTTAAGACATGGCACAGCTCCCTCTGATTTCAGTCTTTGAATCCATTCCGGCTCAGTTTCTTCACCAGCAGAGCCAGCCATATCTTGTAAAAACACCTGCAACACACAACTATAAATTCTTGAGTAAAGTTGAGGGAGGCCATCAATTCAATGGTTGCTACATAGACAAATTGCTCAAAGAGACAAGAATGGGAGCAATGTGGCATGTGGGGTTCAATTCATAGCTACAATAGAAACTGGAATGGAATTAGTAAGTTGATTTTAAATTTCTTGGCTAGTTCTTTGAGTAAATCAAATCAAAATTCAACAGAATCACACATGATTCTGTGATATACTAGAAACTTTAAACCCTTGATGATTTAAAATAACATACAAAAAGACAAAAAAATAAAAAAAACACATAATTGAATTAACATTCAATCATCAACAACACCGACGTAATCAGGAATGAAGAAAGAGAGGGAAGAAACAAAAGTTGTTGTTTTTGATCCAGAAAGAAACAGAGCAATCCAAACCCAGAATAAATAAGAAATTCAAAAGAGAGACAATAAACAAACAGATTAATATAATCGTAGAACAGGGAGCGTAATTATAAACCTTATTATCAGCAGCCGAAGAAGACAAGGACAAGGATTCTCCAAAACCCTAATTCAGAGATGAAAAGTTCTCAATTGGGGGAGAATTTAAAAAAAAAAAAAAAAAGGGGAAGGAAGAAGAGAATCCTATTATGACTAATATATGTTTGTAAAGCTCTTTGTTTATTATTTGTTTTGAATTTAAGATTTGAAAAACAGAGAAGAGAGAAAGCTGTGCCCTGTGATCAGATCCTCCTCAATCCTTCGTTAGCGTCACGCTTTTTAGCTCATTAGACCATCCTCATTGGGGGTATCTTATGAGGCTAAGATACCCCCACTTTTTCAAAGAAAATGTGTTATATAAGGATTTTCTTTGGAAAAGTGGGGGTATCTTAGCCTCCTAAGATATCTAATCCCCTTTATTATTATATTATTTATACCAAGTCCAACTGGCAAAACAAAAAACTTGAAAAAAGTTTTGGGGTCTAGTTGGATAGAATTAAAAAAAATATATCAATTGGATTTAACAAAAATTAAATGGTTATTTTATTTTATTATTAACTCTAAATAAAATATAAAAAAACCAAATTAAAGTATTGTCTATAATATTTTTTCCTCTAATCCTACCAATAAAAAATATTATTTTCTCTTATCAGTATATATTTTTTAAAAGGGTAATTTAATGTTAGAATTTACTACTTCTGTTATCCTACTTATAAAAGTAATTATATAAGGAAATGGAAAAACTCATAATAATAGGAAAATAATCATGATAATCTCCAAATTACAGTATATAATTAATATTAAAGGTATTATTACTGCTGTTAAAAGCAATATATATATTTATATATATATAAGTTTTTCTTTTAAAAATAAAAAATAATAATGGCTGTAAAAAAAGTGAGATAAAAAGAAATGGAAAAAAAATCATGAAAATTTCCTTTTCCAAATTAAAAAAAAAAAAAAAGGATTTTTTTTTTAATTCTTCTTCCCACATCGTAAGTTATTATTATTATTCGGCGCCTCTCCTCTCCGGTCAGACACACCTCCACCGAATTGGGGCATCTCATTCTCCCTTCTTTCTCTCCGGCGTCGGAGAATCAGAAATTTACTTCTCCCACCCTCCGCCGAGTGGATTAACTGGATCATTACGCACTGCTACGGATATGGATCCTCGTCAATTCGAAGACATCGTAAGTTATTCTCTGCGTGAACATGTTCCCCCCCCCTCGAGATTTCAGAAATTGGAATTACTATCCTGCTCCTCGCTTGATCATTCCGCTTTCATTCGATTGAGTTATCGATTATTCTAGGTTTTTCTATTTGGTCTCCACAATTTTATGCATTTTGCTGCTTATCGTCTTTTGTATTGGTCGCTCTTACTATGAAATAGTAGATCCTAGTCACCTCATACTTTAAACATGGATGTCTTGTAGACTTTGACGGCTATTGAAATATGAGCTTACCACAAATCGAACCATAGTATAGTTTCACTGTCAGTTATTTCTTTTAAAGACACATTCTTCTTCTTCTGATGGTCTCTTAGGCTCATGAGTGTATTGGATTATTCAAGCATTGCTTTGTGGTGTAAACAATTTGAGAATTTCTATGTCCTTCTCACTTCACGATATTCAAAGGAGAGTTAAGTATCTAATTCCATGTTTTAGAAGAACTGACCAATGCGTGAAAACGTGTAGATTTCTTATTAACAATGCATTTTGATACTGATGCTTTTCTTTCATCGGTTTTGAATATCTCGCATTTCAATAGTTATACAAGTCATTTTAGGCTTTTTATCCAGAGTTAAAAAATTTCCTATCATCGTTAGCACTGCAGTGTTATAGTATATGATTTTATTGGGAATATCTATACTGTGTCTTCCTATCATCACACAAGCCTTTTTTTTGCTTTGTTTTTTTTTAACCAGGTTGTTGATGATAAGGATATTCACAGCATTGTAATGTCATATCTTCTGCACAACTGCTTCAACGAAACTGCAGACTCACTTGCTTCTTGTACTGGAGTTAAACAACTTGCAGTTGATAGTGATAATATCGAGAGAAGAAAACGTGAGTACAACTTCTCTTTCATCTTTTCACCTGCTGTTAAATGAGGGATTATGCACTCTGTGTGTATGTTCATTGATTTGATTGTTCAAATATTCAGAAATCATACATTTTATACTGGAGAGGAAGGCAATGAAGGCTATTGAACTTACTGAGCAACTAGCACAAGACTTGCTTGAGAAAAACAAGGATTTGCACTTCGATCTTCTATGCCTTCATTTTGTGGAGCGTGTCTGTGCTGGGAATACGTGAGAATTTTATTATTGGTTTTCCATAAGGAACTCAGGTTTCTCAGTGCATTGAATCTTGAAATATTTCTCTGCATGTTGCAGCCGGGAAGCTCTTGACTTTGCTCGTACAAGATTGACTCCTTTTGGGGAGGTCCAAAATTATGTAGGAAAGCTTGAAGTAAGTCTGAATCTTGTTTGACCTTCTAACATATACATCTTGATGTATTGGCATATTACAATTTCTGTTCTTCCAATTGATGGGAGACTTGTTCTTCCTGCCGCAGGACGCAATGGCATTGTTAGCTTATGAAGACCCTGGGACATCCCCAATGTTCCATCTCTTGAGCCCTGAACACCGACAACAGGTTGCCGATAATCTGAACCGCACAATTCTTGGTCAGTTCTTTTTTGTCCTCCAAGAAAATCTCTAGCCTCCTGTGTCTAGCCTCCTGTGTCCTTTACAAATTACAAGTTTTAACTCATTCTTCACATCGTCTAGAACATACAAACCAGCCAAGCTACACACCAATGGAAAGGATCATACAACAGGCGACAGTTGTGAGACAATACTTGACTGAGGAGAATGGCAAAGTAATCATAATACTTCTGGACTTGCTCATCTATCTATTTCGGTGTAGAAACCCTGGAATAGTATGTGCCTGTGTTAAAACGCTGTTTCATGTCTTATGATAGGATGCATTTCCTCCATTCTCTTTGAAGGATTCTCTCAAAGGCTAAGATTGGAGGACGACTGCAAAGTTTGCTAGGAGGAGGATATGCTAAGCATTGTCATGTAAATACCAAAAGGCTTGCTCATCTCCATTGTTTAAATCTGTCTTCATCTCCAGCAAACATGGAGACAAGGTTAGTCTTCCATGGCCACTGGAGAGATTTCGGTTTGCTGTTGCAGGTCATCAATATGTGAAGGACATAATCGGTTTGGTTCGGTTTGGTTCAATTCTCTACCAGAAAATTGTCTCTTCAACTTTGTGCTAGTTTGGTCGATAAATCTGTGATCCATATCCTTGCGAAACATTTTTAACTTTGTAACTATCGTTTATGTTTTGATATTCAAGATTCTTTGCAGACATAACAATCCAAAGTTCGAAGCCAAGACTCAGATGAAACTTTGCAAACAACCAAAATGAACAAACGCGAAAGAATTTGAATAGGATTTAAAAACTACAGACTTGGATTCAAAACCCGAGTTCTAAGAGCAAATCCAAGAACTTTTCAAGAGCTTAGGATCATACATAGAAAACAAAGATTTCCCTAACAATTTCTGAACACGCAACTTCTAAGCTGTCTTGTTTTTAAGACTTGAATGTAATAAATCCCAAATCCATTAGCATGCAATGAGAAAGGAGATTTTCCAAGTTACTAAACTGGACACTAACAGTCTACACTCAGTCTTTTGTCGAGGAAGCTTCAAGATCAGGCGATGCCACACTCTCTTTCTGACCTTGAGAAGGCATGGGTCTTCTTAGCTCTGAGGCCCCACTTTGTTGTTCCTGTTGTTGAAGCCGCTGCTGCTGTTGCTGAAGCTGATACAGTTGCTGCTGCTGAAACTGAAATTGCTGCTGCTGTTGTTGTTGCTGCTGCTGCTGTTTCTGTGACTGGATCTGAAGCTGCTGGAATTGTTGTGCGGCTAAGACGGTGTGCATCGACTGATTGTTGGGATAAAATTGCTGGTTCGGTCCAAAAGAACCATAGTTCATCATTGATGCACCGTTTGGTGTACCTTGCCCCGTCAATACCTTAAGATGCTGGACTTCCTCCTTCAGTGCATCATTTAATGCTGTCAAATAGGGAAAGATGACCAATCAGGTCAGCATTCACAAGAAAGTGCAGCGAAATTCCCAATGAAAACAATTAGAAAGGAGACATGATAAGAATTATCAGTCTGTATGAAAGTATTAGTTGTGAGAAAGATCCTCACCATCCTGTAGGTGAACCTGTTGCTCCATTGTTTGTACTCGTAGTTTAAGCTCATTGTTTTCAACACTCAGGCCATTTGTATCTCTCTGAACAGAAGGAAGAAAAAAGAACAAGATCAAAACAACCATAGACTTACAATATGCTAACAAACATCATAGCCTAGGATTTCAGCAGGACCTTGAAACACTAATTCAACCAACCTGTAACAGAGTCAACTGGGCTGAGAGAGATGTTGCCTCTGATTGTAAAGTCTGTACTTTCCTCTCGAGCTCTGCTATGTATCTCATCTTCCTCTCTTTTGACCTGGCTGCAGACTGCCTGTTTGCCCATATCCTGTCAAATGATAAAGCAGGTCATGCATCTTCTCCAACAAAGAAGCAAACATACACAAATGAAAGATAAAGTTCTGTCTTCCGCAAATAAAGGAACATTGCATAGAGCTATCAGCCAGAAACTTGGAACTAATATGGTGGCAAAAATTTAAATCATGTTTATTGAAACTATAGAAGGAAAACTGTAAGAAAAGAAACATACCTCTTAGCACGTTTTGGATCAATGAGAGCAAGTTCAGAAAGTTTAGCAGCAGAGATGGCTTTCTTAGAGTCAACTCCAGACACATCTTCATTTCCTGACATAAGCATCTCAGGCTTGATAGTTGTCGAACCGTCCATAGATTGGCTGTGTTGGTGCCTGATTCTCGGCCTTTCACTAGAGCTGCCAGGCGTACTCTGAAGGTTAGAAGTGGAGCCTAATTCATTCCTCCAAGCAGGTTCTGATGGCTCACCCATTTGAGAAGTAGAAGTAGCGGAAGAATTGAATTTATCCATATCAAGATACATAAACATTAAGTCCTCATCCGTATCATCAGAGAAAGAAGGTCCATCAGCAGCACCAACAACACCAAGATCACTATCAAAGCTCAAGTCATCAGGAAGAGTAAGAATCTCGGAATGAGCTCGGCGATGGCCAAGATTCTTAGGTGGGTTATCAGGCATTCGGCTTATATCATGGCTGAATCGGTTAGCATCTGAGCTGCTGCTCCCAGTTGGGGTCAAGTGAGGAAACGATGATTCAGCTTTCATGGCAAAGCTACTTCCATTTGGTGAAAACGTAGAGTAACGACCTGATGGTGGAGGTAGACCTCCACTAGGTGGTGCTGGAGATTTCTCCTTCTCCATTCCAAGAACTTGACCTAAACCCCACTAATCTGCACAATTCCTTTACTAAGTGAATACAATAAAACCCTGGAAAAAACCACACGCTTTAATCTCAGCCCTAAATCAAAACAAAACCTAGATTTATCAAACGCTAACGAAAACCCTAGAGTAGAATAAAAGATAGGATCTTTTCAGGCACACTTACAGAGAGAGATCTAGTGAGCAGCCTCCAGACACCAAAGCAGAAGAGAGATCGACGAAACCAAAGAAAAGGTGAAGAGAGGACATATGTGGGAAAAGATGGCGATAGAGATAAATGGGGGGCAGAAAGATCGATCCTACGAGAGAGGAGGGCGAAGAAGAAGAAGAAGAAGAACATTCATTCTCTCTCCATTAAAGGAAGGATTCGTAGAACTAGTGTGCATCAGAAGATTGACGGAAACGATGTCGTATTCGCTTAATCGGTTTAGCTTATTTACAAGTGCTGTACGACGAACCGTGTTACAAACTTTTTTTACTGCTTTTGTCGGAGACGGTCTAAGTATCACCTGCTTTAGCGTGTTGCTGGAAACGATGTGACTGACCGTTGTATTGGATCAGTGAGATATTCAGATGTCTTGGTTCGTGATTTAAATCCGAAAACATAATTATTTTCGTCAAATTGGTTCACGTGGTTGTTAATATATGGTTGGACCGTCGGAGTGCTGCGTATAGTTTATATTATAAATTTGATGACTTTCTAATTAATATATAAGAAAAATACTAACCAAGAAGAAGTTGAAAACCATCAACCATGTGATATTGTTTCCCATAGCTGACGTAACGATTTCTTTCAATCATATGAGGAAAAAACTAATAGTTTTTAAATTAATCCAAAGAAAAAATCAAAGACATATCAAGCACGCCATCAAAAACAGAGAAGAAGATCAACCATATCAACTAGGATATAATGCGGCCTTATATATGTATCTCTTCTTATCATAAGCTCCCACGACGATGCATGATTTGTATATGGACCGTTTAACCACGATCATTAGTATTTTCAAACTTTGTTTTGATCCACTATTTATGTGCCATACCATAGACAAAGAAACTTACAAAAACATCTCTTTAAATGGTGTAAACAAAACTTGAAAAAAAAAATAAAAAAACTAATTGATGTTGATTTCCGAAGGATGGATCGATAGATAAAGGGACTGAACTGCTTTCAAAATAAGTTGGAGTGGGCTTTTATCAGTTATGGGCTAATTTACAAAGAAAAACACAACACACATGAACAGAACTATCTTATTCTCAATCTCAACCATTGACAATTGAATTGGCGCATTTACTCTCGTCTCAACGACCTCCTCACTCCATACTTCATTTCATCATCTAACTATGGGATACATAAGTTTCGTTACCTGTTTTCTTCTTGTCTTAAACATTTTTTCTTATAATAAATTCATTTACTGTAATTTTTAAAGAGCAGATCACGAATACTGTTCTTTTTCTTCTTCTTACCACACATAAGAGGTCTTATGTATATGACAATATTCTCACGTCACGTGATCTTGTCTTGTTAACTCTATAATCTTATTATACAATTTCACATGTTAAGCTTTAGGATACACATCCTATATATGTGCGCTACATCCATACGAGTAATACAACAATCACTTAAAGTACATATATAATGATGTTACACAAAACAAAAACCATCCTCCGCTTGTGCTATTGTATCTAACCAGACAATAACGATATTTTTATTTATAAAAAAAAACCAAGTTAAAAATACAGAGAAAAAAATATAAAGAGGGTGGAAAATAAATAAATTATAACAAATAAATATTTATTTCGATCCAAAAAGAATTATATATGGTTCTAAAAAAAGAAATGTTAACTGGCTGTTGTGAGTGGTGAGATCTCTTGTTCTAGCTAGAAGAAACCATTTTGGTCATTTTTTCCTTTTTAATACAATTTTATATGAGAGTAGTCTAGTTATCATTTTTTTGATATGCTTGATATCACGTTATTTAGGGTTTGGTTGGTATCGTCTTGTATCCATTGTATGGTTTGGGGTGGCTCTTGCCTTTTACCTATAAATCGCTTTCGTAGCTTTAAATACTTTACTATGTTCTGCTTGTGCTGGTGCTGCGGTTTGTATTGGGTTTATTTTTCTGTATTTTATTTGTTTCATCTGTTTGTAAAGTTATAGAAATGTTCGTTTTCGTGGTAGATAAAGCATGTATATAGAAAAGTAACATCAGCTTCTCAATTACGAACTGTCGTATTATACTAGACAAGTAGACATGTTTATCTACTTGAAACACACATAAGAAGTGTGTACATATGTATGCTCACATACTTCTATGGCTCTTTTCAGGTCTATCGCCCTTTTATTCATTTTGAGGAATGTAATAGTTGGGTAATGTGATCATTAGATTAGTCGTGATCAAAGGAAGTTAATTAAATACCCATTAGCTGTGTTTTTGAAGTGGATGTTGAGATGTTCGGCCAAAAGTGATTACATAGGTACTTAAACAAGATACGCAACCCCAACTTGTTCAGACATCATCAGGATTTTCGAACCAAGGGAACGACGACAACTGATTGGTTCTCCTCTGTTCTTCGTTGGGTCAGTGTTTTTGTCATAAAACTATCTCTGAAGTCTTTTTATTTTCACGACAAAAAAAAAATGATGACAAAATATCGTATATATATTAATGTTTACTGTACTTGTGTAGTCCAGTAAAACAGTATCAGAGGAGGTTCGAATCAGTGGAGAGGCATGGCCTTGAATGGTGGTGTCAAAACAGAGAGAATGGGATTGGACACCTACTACTACACCCACATCAAATTGTCATTACGTTGAATCCCAGAAACAGAGGAAGCCTCATTGAGATCTGTGATTCTTCATATTTTCTCTTAATGTTATGTAACCTAATAAGAGAATAGGTTTAATAAACAATTTTTTTTTAAAAAAGTGGTGTAACTTAAAACTTGTGGTAAAAGGTAAAGAAACAATGGGTCGGCGTCGGCCCCTTGTGGGTTTTTGCAGGTGCATCATTGACTTTTGGCCCCAAAATCTAATTAATGTCTTTTGTAGTTATGACGCTGAATCTACCACACTGTACGTGCCTTGTTGGTACTCGTAAAATATCCTTGTATATGTTCATCCTTGCTTATATCTACGATATAGCCTGCCAGTAATATTTTAGTTTATACATATTCTATGTGCAGTTGTGATTTCAATGTGTATATTCAAACTCATGTTCTCTATTGTCTTTAAACATTTCTTTTGAATCGCACCAGTACTGTTTAAAACTAATGATTGTAACTTTATAGTGCACAAGTATTGTAATTATGAACGGAAACGAGGAAACTTTAGTTAATTAAGGTGATTGCTGCTAGTGTATAGAACTCTTCAGAGTGTTATAAAATTCGGGTTTCGCAAGAACCCAATTTTTTTCCTTCAATGCTGAGTCATTAATGTTTTCGTCGTTACGATGTTCAGATTGCAAAGATATATATGGATGGGTATCACGGAAATCTGATATTCTGAATTAATATGGGTAGGGTATACACTTTTTATATTAGATATGTTTTCATGATGGACCAACAAATCAGTTTTTCCCCAAACTCGTTTCTTCCTTTTTCTATTGAGATACATATATATAGCTTCAAACATTTATACATATACGTTGCATGTATAGAAAAATCATTTGTTTACTTTTAGACATACACATATGACATATGTAATAATTAATTTTCCCTTTTGTCTACTTCGTACGAGCTAGTATACTTTTAGACATACCGAAACACACACATGGTGTTCGCATTGAAATAGGTTTGAACTTGTGCCCATCATCATCCATCCATGTAGCTAGTATGTATGCTTCGGAGATATTTTCTAGGCATTCTACATTTATATCAAGTTAATAATAATATTTATTATTGGACCATTCTAACTCTTATCGTATAACGCTGTATATAACGACGAGAGAAAACTATAATCCAGAGACATATGGTTGCTATATATTAATACATACAATTTGTAATTGTTAGAAATCAATTCCTTATGGGTTACTTGGTTATCCTGCGGATAAATACGGACCAAACAGCGTACCAGATACCAGTTAAATGTTTCGTCTGTTATTAAGGTTTCTCCTCGCTGAGTTTTATTTATTTGGTCTCCACTTCACAGAATCTATGCATATATTGATGAACTAGCAATGACTTTCTAAGTTATACGTTATAGTACATTTATTTTTGGTTTTTAAAATTAGTACAAGCTACAATAAGTGCATGTAAATATGTGTATATATACTATATATTAGGGAAACGAAGTCAATATCGAGTTCCGTGTCACCTTCATGCTTACATGCATCGATCTAGGGTTTCAATAATAATAAAAAATATTAATACAACAAGTTAATGAATTAGCGTTATGACCGCCTACGTTCCAACTGCAACAATTTACAGATACAATGAACAGAGTCTCTAGAGAAGGAATGTATTAGCTAAGTAGTCCTCAGCTCGAACAATTTCTTCATAAGTTTTTTTTTTTTTGGTTTAAAATGTTAATAATTTGTTCACAAGTTTAGTATATATCCAATGAGTTTTGTCTAAATTCAAGAACTTTAACTCGTTAGTCTTCTCTAGGATATATACATGTTCTTTCTTACTTTGGATCGAAGATTAGATTGGATGGTCACATGAAGAGACGATTTCTTGCTTATTCAAGAAAGATATCGTTAGTCTTTTTTGGAATATATGCATGTTCTTTCCATTATTCCATATCGTCCTTGTTTGTGGAGGTTAGAATGTTGCTAAGTGAGAGATTACGTGATTTAATTCCTTTCAACTTCAAGAAAGAGTGGTTACGTTTGTGCATGTGCTTTCCATTATCTATTTTTTTTTTTTAGGGTGAGATGGTTGTTAAAGCAATTACATTAACTAATTTCATCCAAACACATGTATGTGTTGTTCGGTAATTAGCTTTGAGATATTGGAGCCCTGATGTTCCTGTGTCCACATACGAAAATGATTTTTATTTTTATTTTTATTTTACTGATGTTCTTTTTATAGCGGCATAGTCAATGCAGTTCAAAAAAATAATAGTGGCAAAAAAAATCTAATTCATAAATATAGATGTACATCGAATCAGCAACCATAAAATAAAAATAGCACTAGCTAGCTACAAAATAGAAGAATTGCATAAATTACGGGTACATATATACACATATATAAATATTTATAACAATTTCTAACTCAATATCGAGGGCTATGTCAGCTTTATGCTAACATAGTTGCATGCATCTATCAATGGATTCCAACAATCATAATATTTTAAAAATTTTAATCAGAGCAAGTTAATGAAGTGATAACGACTACGTCCCAACTGCAACAATTTACAGGTAGGATAAAAGAATGGTCGCATGCATTAGAGAATAAATTACGGCGTCGGTTAATAAGTCAGTTTACTCTTATTTAATTTTTCACACTCACTCTCCATGCTACTATAAATTACAAGGATGCTCACTCACAAAGCTTAACCATTACAACACTCTTTGTGCAACACTCTTCATATCCAATTAAAGAGTGCTTCTTTTCTTTCTTTATTAATTACAAGATATGTCATTGTCAACGTCGGAGAAGGAGGAGAATCACCGGAAGATGGCGGCGGACAAGGCAGAGAAGGGGAGGAAGAGGAAGGCAATGTGGGAGAGGAAGTGGAGGAGATTGGACATCGTGAAAGCTTTTGCTTCCCTCTTTGTGCATTTCCTATGCCTCTTGGCTCCTTTCAATTTCACTTGGCCGGCTTTAAGAGTCGCCCTCATTGTTTATACGGTGGGCGGGCTTGGTATCACCGTCTCTTACCACCGCAATCTGGCTCACCGGAGCTTCAAAGTCCCTAAATGGCTCGAGTATTTCTTAGCCTATTGCGGCCTTCTTGCCATTCAGGTTCATCATCCTCTTTCATTTCTTTTCATTTTTTATTATTATTTTCAAACCGCAAAATGTCCAAAACCTCGTATTCGATATCTTTTCGTTACCCATTCTCTTACATATTCATTTAATTTTCCACATATGTATATATGGTTATACTAATGCTCATTGGATCTACCCGTTAATCCTCTTTTTTTAGTTTCGACAATAATTTTAGTCACAATATTGTAATAAATTTTTAGGTTGACTCGGTGCATCGTCAAATCTTTACACCCTTAGATTTGGTCACAATCTAGCTGTATATATTATTAGAGTTAGCCGTTTTTTTTTTTTGTTGGTCACCAAAGTTAGCCGTTTTTAAAAATAACTTTACATTATGTTTTAATTAGTTGAGTTAGCCGTTTTTAATTAATATAATCAAATATCTAGTTCTAAGAATTCATGGACCCACCCGCATATGACATATCCTTTGATTGGAAAAACTTATGTGTTTATATATGAACATTAAATTTGTTTCTTATTGTAATTAGGGAGATCCTATTGATTGGGTGAGCACACATCGATACCATCACCAGTTTACAGATTCGGACAGGGACCCCCATAGTCCTAATGAGGGCTTTTGGTTCAGTCACCTCCTATGGCTATTTGATACCGGTTATCTTGTAGAAAAGGTAAGTAAAAGATCTTGGGAGGACTACAGATTAGTTTATGTGAATCCCAATTAATTTATCGCTTCAATGTAATATATTGTAATGGCACAGTGTGGAAGAAGGACAAATGTGGAGGACTTAAAGAGGCAGTGGTACTATAAATTCCTTCAAAGAACAGTCCTTTACCACGTTCTTGCATTTGGTTTCCTCCTCTATTACTTTGGTGGTCTCTCGTTTCTTACTTGGGGAATGGTAATAAATACTCTCTCTCTTTTGTTTTTGTTTTTTTTTTCTTTTCGCATTTTGATTTTAATTTTTCCTATAAAAAAACAAAATTGTAACAATAGTTATAAAGAATAAAATGATAAGGAATTGAAGCATATATTCTCTAATTTTGGTATGGGTGATTGTAGGGTATTGGCGTAGCAATGGAGCATCACGTGACTTGCCTCATCAACTCACTTTGCCATGTTTGGGGAAGCCGGACTTGGAAGACCAATGACACTTCTCGTAACGTTTGGTACGTTCTTTCATCAATCATGGAAACATAAATCTAATCTTCATTGAGTATGAATTATAAAAACAGATTGATTTTTTTTTTTACCAAGGTTAATTTTTTTCTTTTTCTTTTGAATTTTTATTTGGTGTTCGAGTTGGTGAAAATGAAAGGTGCATCAACCAAAACTTCATTTTAAGAGGTCGATTAGAATAGTTACTCTTGGCACATTGTCAATCAAAAACGCAACTCATGACTTGACTAAACAGGAAAAGAAGTATCCTTTTCTTGTCATTACAGAACATATTTAAAAAATGTATTCAGAAATAGGATACCTTTTTTGGACCACTCCAAAGGCATTTAGTTCACCATCAGAAAAAACCCCGACATGTGTTAGATCTTTTGATTGTGTTTTCTTTTATGTGGTCCATCTTATTATTACTGCATGTTAGAAATTATTATTAAGATAGTGTGTTTTCTCTTTCACAAAATAAAGGAATTTAGCATATATATGATTACGAAAGGACAAATAATGAATATGCCTAAGTTAATAATCAACAATGATAAATACTGTGGAAGAAACTAATCAAGTGTTGAATTAATATACATTAGGTGGCTATCAGTATTCTCGTTTGGAGAGAGCTGGCACAACAATCACCACGCCTTCGAGTCATCGGCGAGACAAGGCCTGGAATGGTGGCAGATCGACATATCTTGGTACATCGTCCGATTTCTCGAGATCATCGGTTTGGCTACTGATGTCAAGCTGCCTTCGGAGAGCCAACGACGTCGTATGGCGTTGGTTCGTTGAAGTTTTTAATCCCGAATCGTCGTCTCGATTTAAAAGTATTAGTTAATGTCTCTACGTACGTTTAAAGTTTTCGGTAAACTAAACGTAACACTTGTAATATTGTGCTATGCGGTGTACTGCTGTCTTGTGTCTTGTCGTGTGTGTGTGTTTGAACCAGCTTTGCTTAATACGTTCCTTTCTCATGTGAGAGCGAAATATTTCTATGCGTAATGAAGTTTATCACGCTTTTTTTTTCCCTTTTTTTTCGGCAACTCAGACAAACACAGTCATATGTAAAACCCGGGTTATGCGTTATGACACAATGATCACACTAGTATATTACAACATTATATGGTCATTTATTACTTAAATCCAATATTGAATTATAGTGATGTACTGTTGTATAATTGTATGTTTTGTCGTGGTTCATTTTTTTTATAGAAGAACATGCAAGAAATTTAAATTTGAAGTAACAAGAAAAGATTTGGCGGATTTAATAGAAACGGGCCAAACGGGCCTGAGACAAAAAAAAATTGGTTGCTACCTCTCTAGAAGAACAATATGCCGCCCCTCTTATTTTGTGTGTTTCTTGTTTTTGATACGTATTTAACAGATTTGACTTTTATAAGGAAAAAGCGGACACCTATTATAACGGATAGAGAAGTTTTTATTAGTGTAATAATTAATAATAATTCGTTCAAAATAAAACGTCTAACTCTAAGCACCAAAACCTAAATGGCTAAAACGCTACCAAACCTAAAATGCAATGATTTATCCACCCCGTCCTCTACAAACTCCAACCAAATATGTTATAGCTCAAAATTTAAATTGAGAATTTTCATATGTATACACAATTATACATGTGTGATATCATAACAGCTACGATAATAATAATAATAATAAAGATATTAGCATACAAATATTGAAAAGTTTATATTCATTTGTTATTATATACTACTACTGTTTATTATAGAAACCGTGAATAAACAAAATCTATGTCCATTAACAATTGCATTCACATTTGGTAACATATATACACTATACTTTTTATATATATAGCAATGTTAATAAAGTATATCACAAAAAATATCAAAGGGGAAAAACGGTTTACAAATTTTATAACCTTAAACGTTAAGAGGAATCAAAATGCGTGTGTTTTATGACGTAAAAGCATCCGCAAAAGCATTCTTTTAAAAACAATTACAAATGTCCCAAGTTTTTAATTACACATGTGCCTAGCTATTATGCTTAACTCTTAATTCTCGGACTAACCAATCAACCCGGATCGTTACGCATAATATTAACTAGTTTTGCTTTTTAAGTAAAAATTAAAATAGGGCCAAACCAAATTTGCTTTGTTGTTTTCCTAACTAAATCCTCATTTGGAGACAAGGCAAACACGAATTAAAGTAGAGTGTGCGAGTTTATGTTTTCGTTGTTAAGTTGTGATTACTACTCCAATCCACCGATACAATCCTTAACCTCCACGACATATTCAGCTTTCAATGAACCAACATATCATCATCCCCTATATATAACGAACCAAACCTTTTGGTCAAATCATATCTCAAAACTAACAAACCCATTCCTCAACGGTCCAATGGGGGACACCACTAAGGAAGATGGCACCAGCCAGAGCAAATCGCTGCGTAGGGGAAAGAGAGCCTACTTTTTCAGGAAATGGACGCGGATCGATCTGATGAGGGCTTCGGCTGTTGGGGCTGTGCATGTATTGTGTCTGTTGGCTCCGTTTAACTTCAAATGGGAAGCTCTCCGGTTTGGTGTGATTCTTGCCGTAGTGACTAGTCTCAGCATTACATTCTCATACCATAGGAACTTGACTCACCGGAGCTTTAAGCTTCCTAAATGGCTAGAATATCCATTCGCTTACTCTGCCCTCTTTGCGCTTCAGGTAGATATATATAAAAGATATCGTATAACCAAATATAGAAAATACCTAGCCAACGTATATCTTTGAAAGTTCTTTGTTATTTTTGGTTACAGGGTCATCCGATAGATTGGGTGAGCACGCATAGGTTCCATCACCAGTTTACAGATTCAGACCGTGACCCACATAGCCCTATTGAAGGATTCTGGTTCAGTCACGTCTTTTGGATATTCGACACCAGCTACATCAGAGAAAAGGTAGCAAAATGTTTAAAATATCTACAAAAGCAACATACAGTGTATATGAATCAATATTCTTAAGGTATTATGAGAAATTAATAGAAGAATCAGTAAGTAACTAAAGGCGATGGTTGTCTGATAACGTAACAGTGTGGAGGACGTAATAACGTGATGGACTTGAAGCAACAATGGTTCTATAGGTTCCTTCGAAACACCATTGGTCTCCACATCATAGCATTTTGGACCCTCATCTATTTCTGGGGTGGTCTTCCTTACCTAACTTGCGGCGTGGTAAATGACTAATTTCTCTGTTTACTTTTTTTTTTTTTTTTTTTTTGGTTGGGTGCAATTAACTGTTTGTATTAAATAAATAAAAATTCGATTATGTTTATGGCAACAGGGAGTTGGGGGAGCAATAGGATACCATGGGACATGGCTCATAAACTCGGCGTGCCATATTTGGGGATCGCAAGCGTGGAACACCAAGGACACCTCTCGTAACGTTTGGTATTTTTATTTACACCTCAATAATTAAACCTTAACCGGAACTGATAAACATTAAACCGAAATTAACATATTGATGATTACGTGAATGTGTGCAATGGCGCAGGTGGCTAGGGCTATTCACGATGGGAGAGAGCTGGCACAACAACCACCATGCCTTTGAGGCGTCAGCTAGGCACGGACTGGAATGGTATCAGGTAGACATAACTTGGTACCTGATCAGGTTCTTCCAGGCTCTTGGCTTAGCCACCGATGTCAAATTGCCTACGGATGCTCAGAAACGCAAGATGGCTTTCGCTCGTTAGTCACAGCTCTGTTAATCTTATCTAAATTATGAATTTGTACCTCATCACTCACTCAACTCATTTGTTATTTTATGTTACATGATTAATAGAATAATATGTTCTCATGAAACTACTTGTTAACTAGTGAAATACGTGATCCAATACATGTGAAATCTTGAGTACATTTCACGCTGTATACATATCAATCTTTTTAATTATGGTTACATTGTGAGTCGTTGGATCCACCCGCCAATCCTATTAACAGTAATTTAGGTAACAAACTGCCGCAAATCTTAGAATTGAGCATAGCCACTGCCCACTGGGGTCTCAATTAAATCTGAAACAGCCAAACCACTGTTTCAGATGAACTCTGGCCATCGTCAATCTTTAAAATACCGTTGGAGCTGGTCAGAATCTAGCTAATATTAATATATATGCCTTTTTTGTTTACTTTGTGCATGTGTCTAGTTAGTAGAGTTAACCGTTTTCTTAAATTAATATCTTAGATTAATTTCTAAAGCTGTGCATAAAGAGACCCACCCACAAATCTTTGATATTTTCTGTGACTTGTTCAGTTTTATTCGATTTTTTATATTTTTTTATTAATATCAATTTGCAAATGTTATCATTTATTGAGGATTAACCAATGTTTTCTAAATATATAAGAGCTTAACCAAGAATTATGATTTACCATAAAGTAAAATTTCAATCTTTATATTAAGTAGGTGTAAATTATTAAATTTCATCCAACCTATGGTTCATTCCCTTTCTAATTCAATATATCTTACCCTATCATATTAAATATCCACCCAATGGTTCATTAATAATGTAGTTTCCATTCATCATATTAAATTCCTGTAAATTAGTAAATTTAACAGTTACATGCGAAATATGTAGTTTAACACAACCATTTAACATTTATCAACTAAATACGTATGTTATTATTATTGTTCTTTTTTCTTTTTTTTTTTTGAACGAATGCATGTTATTCTATATCCTAAATTCCAATACGATTACCAAGTAAATTACGTCGTAATTCATATATACATATATCATTCAAAAGAGATCAATTATCCTTGATGTGATGTATAGCGAACATGTTAAAGTACACATAATTTTTAGATATTAGTACATAAACTATATAGCGACACGTCTAAATATGCTATAATTTACATTGTGTCCAATTCATACGAGAAGAGTAATGTTTCGCTTAAATTTAGCGTAGCACAAGAAAACATCACACATTAAAATGATAGACCAGGCAAATTAATTACGAAGTCATTTATCTTTTCGTCGTTAGGTAGTGATGATTAAACTCAAATCCACCGATACAATCTTTAATCTCCACAACATTCAACTAAAATGACTAACATCTTCCTGGCCTATATAATCAAACCTTTGGTCAATCATAAGTCACAACTCAAAAGCTTTTCTACTGTTCATACTTCCAAGATAATAAACTCTTTTCTCGAGTTTCCAATGGGTGATGCTGCTAAGTACGATGGCTCTAGCCAAAGCAAACCACAGCGCAAGCAGAAAAGAGCTTATATATTAAGGAAATGGACACAGATCGATGTAGTGAGGGCTTCGGCTGTTGGAGCCGTGCATCTGTTGTGTCTAGTTGCTCCATTTAACTTCAAATGGGAGGCATTCTGGTTTGGTGCTGTTCTCAACCTTGTGACTAACCTTAGCATTACACTCTCGTACCACAGGAATTTGACTCACCGTAGCTTTAAGTTACCTAAATGGCTTGAATATTCATTCGCCTATTCTGCTCTTTTCGCGATTCAGGTATGTATTGTTACCAAAAATTGTAAAATATAACTATCTTGCATCCAATACGCATCCTAAATTATCTTTGAATTGACTGTTTCAGGGACATCCAATAGATTGGGTGAGCACACATAGATTCCATCACCAGTTCACAGATTCGGACCGCGATCCACATAGCCCTATGGAAGGATTCTGGTTCAGCCATGTCTTGTGGATATTTGACTCTGATTATATCAGAGAAAAGGTAGTGAAACGTTTAAAATCTCTACAAAACGCAACATCTGTGCATCAATCTTAACTAGTAATGAGATTCCAAGATTTGCAACTAATAACTAAAAGGCGAATGTTGTAATAATTGCTACAGTGCGGAGGACGTAATAACGTGATGGACTTGAAGCAACAATGGTTCTATAGGTTTCTAAGAAGTACAATTCTTCTCCACATCATAGCATTTTGGACCCTCATCTACTTATGGGGTGGTCTACCTTACTTAACTTGGGGCGTGGTAAAATCTCTATATGTTTTTTTGCAAATCGGATTATACCTTCATTAATCTATTAAGATTAGTATTATTAAAAAAAACAAAAAAACACACATATTTTATTTTGCTTCCTGTTAGGGTGTTGGAGGAGTAATCGCTTACCATGCGACTTGGCTCGTAAACTCGGCATGCCATACTTGGGGTTCGCAAGCGTGGAACACCAAGGACACCTCTCGTAACGTTTGGTATTATACTTACCCACTCTAATCTCTATATAGACCTATCCTAGACATGTCGATAAACCGAACCAAACACAATAGGCTACTATACCAAACGGAATCTAGTTTCAATTTGATTAGTTATAGAGAACTTTGAAAACTGAAACTTACGTTTAAATCCGATAGACCTTAAAAGAGAGTGGATATGTGGAATGGTGTAGGTGGCTAGGGCTATTGACTATGGGAGAGAGCTGGCACAACAACCACCATGCCTTTGAGGCGTCGGCTAGGCACGGACTAGAATGGTATCAGGTAGACATAACTTGGTACGTCATTCGGCTCCTCCAGGCTCTCGGTTTAGCCACTAATGTCAAATTGCCTACCGATGCTCAGAAACGCAAGATGGCTTTCTCTCATTAATGTCAGCTCTAATTCTATCTATTTCGTTAATTATACGTACTCATTACACACTCTTCTGTTATTTATGTAATACTGCTAAGAATAATCTGTTCTTATGAACTTGTAAACCAGTTGATCCAACACCTTTGTTTTTAAAGTACATTGCATGTTGTATGGACAATGAAAACCGATATAACATAAAATCTCGAGAGAGTAACAAACCTTGAGCCAGAAAATAGTTCAGAAGATGTAGTCAGGTAACTCCAGAGAAAACTCTGCGACTTTGACTTCAAATTGACTCCCTTTTGGATCTCTCAAACTACGAAAAAGGAAATCAAAAGATTCCAGTTTATTTCCAAAACTACAACATATGTGGTCTGGATTCTTAACATCATCTCATGAAGCATACCTTCCAGGCACAAAGGTGAAAGAGCCTTCAATGGCTCCAGCTGTTGTTGGAAAACTGGAACAACTCTCATACACAAACTCTTCCTCTCCGGCTTGTAAGAGCGGGTACTACAAATATACAATAATACAAACCGCATTAGAAAAATACAAACCGCACATCACTAAACAGAAAACGAGGGTTGGTCTCACAACTATGCTCCTTCAACCAACAAATTGTTATCTTAATAAACTAAAGCAAAGCTATACCTTTCCTATCACAGCTTCTCCATTAACATTATCTATCACTTCATTATCAGCTCGGATAACCCAATGTCTCCAATACAGTTGGCAAGAGCTATGATGTGTCCCCTTCAAGATGCATCCTTCTGGCACCAGAGACATCCGGATTGAATATGCATACCAGTATGCCGGTGGCTGATCCCGAAGATTAGATATTTCCGGAATAAAAACAGACGAAGCACGTACCTGCATTTAATAATGAACAAGATTTTCATTCAACAATCCACAAACCCGAATATCAATGACTAAATAAGTCCTTGCTTACCTGCACACCATTAGTTATGGCGATAGAGCACAAGGGAGGAAATTCCGGGAACAAACTGATACTTTTGATATTTTCCTCTTCACGGATTTTTATAGCGCCGGTTTGTAATCGCCTGCCATGTTCTTCCAACCAAAGCAGCAAGGCATCCTGTTTCTGATCGCCGTTGATATCGTGAACCAAAGAATCGGGTACACAAGGAAGTAATTGGCGGTTACTTGTCACAGTGTAAAGCTGTCCGTTTGTGCAGTCTAGGAAAAAGATTTTCAGACTGGCCACGACGGATGCAGCCACAATGACAAGGTTTGAAATGCTCGAGGAATTGAGGTGGCGAATGGCTACCTTTGTCTCCCTTATCATTTTCTTAAGAGGTAGCAAGTAGACATTAACTTCATGAGAGTAAACAGAATAGCCACCTATAATCCCCAAATACCCATCAAGCCCATTGGAGGAAGAAAGCTCTTGACCATCAACGAAACGGTAGAGAAGCCTTGTGGCAAGAGGAAGCTTCACTTTGAGAACAGTCTCCAATTCTTGAAGATCATCTTCTGTGGCACCTTTCCTCAGTGTTGCCTTTGCTTCAGGGAAGTTTAAGCTCAACCATAGTTTGAGGTTGTCCCAACAGAGTCTAACTCGTTTAACGAGCTCCCATGGGTACATTCTAAATGACTCCCTCCACAACTGATATGCTGTCTGAAGAAAAGTGAATAAAAATCTTAAACTTTAAGGTCGTCTCAGAGATGAAAGACCAATAATTTACAGTGTCAAAGCCCTCAAGGAACGAACGTTCATCAAATAATAAAAGGACTCAGAATGGATCAAGCTCAGGTGAATGTTAAGGTGTTTAACACTCAAAACCCTAGAAAATGTCAAAAGAAGAAAGGTTACAGAGAGTGAAATTGACCTTGAAGGAAGGCCCAAGATCTCCATGGGGATCGAGTGGAGAAGAGATATTAAGATCACGGGAACAAAAGATCGACCAGAGAGATTCCTCGGAGGCGGAAACCTGAAGGCGTTTACTGACACAAGCCACTCTGGCGGTGCTTTCAGGACCGATTTTGGAGAATACGGTGTGGAGAACCAAATCTCCAGCATCTTCTAGCCCCATAGCTTTCGTCTCAGACAAAGACCCTTCTTGCTTTTGTCGGCTCTGTTTTCAGTTCTTAGGAATGTTTCAATCAGAAGAAAGGTACTTCGGTTCAAGTCGGTTGTACGGATGAGGTCATGTGTACTTGGTGTTGGGGCACTTGATTTATTATAAGTCGGTTAAATAACACAACAAAATTCGATTTATGTACTATCGAATCAGCAAAGCCACAACCCATAGGTATGAAAGAAGAAATTGAAGTTTTAAGTTTTTAAAATTCTACAAGAAAAGATCATCGAGTATGAGTAAGAATTCGCTACGACGGGTTTCACGGTCAAAACTCAAAATAACTTATTCAGCAACACTACATATTAAACCGGATCTCATCAACTTCTGTACAGAGGAACAGCCATTAGCTAAGCTTTGAAATTGTCCTTGGCTCTCCTTATAATACCCAGAGCTTCTGCTTCATCTGCTGTCTCTGGAATACCTAAAGCCCGACGGATATCTGTGTTCCATGCACGGAGAAACGGGTTACAAGCCTTCTCCATCTTCATCGTTGTTGGAATCTGAGATTTTGCAGACACGAAATCAGTCAAAAAAAATTGTAGTTTCAATTACTAAAAAGTATCGATTGTAGGAGTAGCTAGTCCAGTTAAGTTACTGGAATTGAAGAAAGATTACCGTTGGTAACTTCTTGTCACGGAGCTCTGCAACGTAGGCTGCATAAGACTGAAGTACTTCGTTAGTTGGTTCTATAGACAATGCAAACTTGGAATTACTCTGCGAGATTAAAACATTATTCGATCAGATGGGGTTACGTCTGTAGTATTTTTATATGGAAACAATCAATAAAGATCACAAACCAGGGTATACTCATGGCCACAATATATGCTTGTGTCGTCCGGCAAAGCAATTATCTTCTGGAGAGAAGCTAGCATCTGCAGAACAAGATGCGGGTTGTTGAAACCAATTCAAAGAACTTACGCTAAGAGTAAAGTTCAGAGAGAACAATAATTACGCGTATATATGGTGTCTACCTGCTCTGGAGTACCTTCAAAGAGCTTACCACATGATAAGCTAAATAAGGTGTCCCCGGTGAAAATTGCTCGTGCCCCTGGAAAGTAGAAACTAATATGGCCTACAAACAGAAAAGAGGATTTAGAAATGGGGACAAGTCTAAGGTATAAACATGTGCATAGTTTATGTTTAAAGAACAAAAACCCCGGTGAATCTTCAATAGTCATTCAGGGAAAGACTAAACTTTGAACTACTCTGAATCAGAGGAAGATAATTTAAACACTAAAAGGAATAAAAATTTGCATTTAAGAAGGCCTGGAACCAACCTTTTGTGTGCCCAGGAGTTTCCATGACATGGACTTCATGGCCAGCAAAGATCCATTTGTCACCATCTTTTAAGGCAATATCAATTCCAGGAATCCGGCCCCTATCTACAGCTGAGCCGATCACCTAAGTACATGCCACATTATAGTCTGCAATTAATTATTACATCAAAAGTCTAAATAACATCTCCACACAATATGGACAGAGTTGAGTGAAGTAACATTCGCCTACCTTTGCACCATACCTGTCTTTTAGTTCCAAATTCCCACCCGTGTGATCATGATGGTGATGTGTATTTAAAATATATGTTAGATTTCGACTATGCTTCTGCAGTGCATCCATAACAGGTACAGCTTCAGAAGGGTCAACTACACCAACTGTACCAGTATCCTCGTCATGTAAAATATAAGCATAGTTGTCTGCAAGACATGGCACCTGAAAAGAAAAATGAGGGTTATTTTCCTCAAGACTGCACAGTGTTCTGCTAAATTAACTTGTTGGCTGCTATCTAAGACACAAATAAAAATGTACTGCTGAAGAAACGGCTAAAAGTAATTACTGGTTTACAAGTTGGTTTTGTTGCAAAAATGAAAGGACGTTTGCCAAGAAACAAAAGGGTTACTAAGCAAAAACTTAAATGGATTAATAAGGAGTAGAGTTAAGGCAAGTAAAAGAGTCAAAAAGCAACACACAGACCAGTTCAATTTGCAATGAGGTAGAGACATTGGAGACAGTGCAGAATCTTGAAACGCGAACGGATATACCAGAACCACGCAGAGTCCTAAGAGGGGAAGAGAACAACTTCATCACACCAGATACAAGACCCTTTCTGAGGTGAAGCTGTCTCACGCATGGCCTTAGACATGGCTGACTTGTTAGCTTCAGATAAACAGATAAAAGAAGAGACTAATCAAATATATGAACAAGAAAACTTGAAAAATATACATACAAGAAAAGTCACAGCCAAGACTGAATAGTTTCAAACAAGAAAAGTCACAAACACCAATATCTTTGAGCTTTGAGCAATAAGCTAGTGTGCTTGAATCAACACAAGTCATGTATACAAACCAGAATTCTCAACTCAGTTTCTTCACTAAAAACAGAAAGAGCTAATTGACTGGAAAATTAGATAATAAAAACAAATTCAGCCAATTAAGAATTAAGCACCTTTTGTATAGTCCAAACCTTTAAGCATCGAAATTTCAAAACTTTAAGGAAGAAAACAATTACGAGTATCTAAGTTTGAACACAGGGAAGGAGGGAACCCTAAAATTGGAAAGTAATCCGGAGACGGAGACAAGAATGAGAGGAATTCAAGAAATACAAACCCTAGAACATCGAAAGAAGGAGGCTGCAGAAGAAACTTTGGAGATAGCTTGCATCTCTGATCTCTCGATTATTGTCTATTTGCTCGGTGGACTCTATAGAGTGAGACTCGACGCGATTTCTAACACACAGAGAGAGAGAGACCAGACCACAGAAGAAGTGCGTGTCATGACAACAAGAACCGACCCAACCCACAATATTACTAAACCAAACTGAACCAAATAATTAACCTACGTATGGTCTAACATAACGATATTTTTAATTAATACTGATAAGTCCACTTTTTACTTCCAAAAATATAGTATTCACTATACATTAATCATTTGTTATAAATTAATGTGAAAATAGTTTTTTTTTTCCTTTTTTTTAACAGCGTGAAATATATGGTCATTGATTTTGCATGAAATACTAGGTTTGACTTTCGAATATAATTTATATGATTTTACATTATATTTCCATTGAAATTTTCAAATATATACGTATAAGCACACGGCACGCAGCAGGCAGAAGCAGGGGCGGACCCATAACCATGGTGGTGGGGGGCAGCTGCCACCAGCAAAAAAAAAAAAAAAAAAAATTATTAAAAAATTATTAAAAAATTATTAAAAAATTATTAAATATTATTAGAAAACAAAATCTGTCCCCACCAAAAAAACTAGTTTTCATCCTTTTTCTTGGAAAGCCCATTAATTCATGTACAAAAAAAAAATTTAATATATAAATTGAAGACTTACTAATCTAGACCTAATTTTTTGTCATTTTCTTTTTCTTTAGTCTTTTGGTTTCTTTGTGTGACAACAAATCAACAACTATCAATTTGTTAGTTTATTTTCCTGCTTTTTTTACAATCGTTTCTATTATATAAGCATTACTTTTAGTCAGTTAATTTTATTTAATATAACTATGTTTCCTGGAAAACATTATATAGGTTTTTATGTTATACATGACTATATTAGTTTTTGCAGTGACAATTGTTTATATGTTTATTATATGATTAAGCTTTTATGGAAGTTTGTTACATAATTCAAAAATATAAAATTAATAAATTTTAAAATATAAATCTATAAATTCTAAATTTTCTAAATTTTTAATTAAGAACATGTTTTTTTTTAAATTATTTGAAGCTGTCACAAATGAAAATGTGGTAAAAAGGTTTCAATTGTTAAATGAGCGTCGAGTAGTTTTGTAAGATATTTTAAAGTTTTTACATGACAATTTTATGTTCTTTTATAATTTAGTATTTGATAGTTTTTTTACTATATTTTTGCCCCCGTTGAAAAAAATTTCTAGATCCGCCCCTGGGCAGAAGTACACATCCTGTGTGAGGTGTACACGTACTGACGCACATGAGGTGAAGGCAGGCGCGTACGCACTTGCTTTGTTAGACCAACTAATTGTATATACTTCGTAACCTATATCGTCGTTTCTTGTATTTCATGCGTTTGACTCGAAACGTGACTTTTACTTTTCAATCATTTCAGTACATCTCTCCAACCAAATTCTAACGCCATCTTGATTTGTTTCTTGTCAAAGTGTTCAGAAGAACAATATTATCTTATGTAGTGAGTAAACTAAACTATAACAGACTCTACGATGTCAAAGATAGACCAAGCTTAAACCGGAATATCTTTTTTTTTTCTTTTTTTTAATTAGTAAGATTTTAAATTTTTCGTAACTTAAACAGGAATTTTAATCTGGTCTTTTGCGGCTATACTCTGCATGCATGTTTTAGTGATGTAAAGCGACCCGACCGAGTCGTGTTGTAAACTTGTTTGATCAGTCTTCATGGTTCAAATGTCAAAAGTCCCAAGTAAGGTCAAGCCTCCACAATTTATTGTGAGACCATTATTAATCTAAGCTTCCCCAAGTCAACCCAACAAAACCTTGTACATATACATACGCGCACACATAAGTAAAAGTTATAGAGCCAATATATATAACTAATTTTACTGAAAAATACTATCATGACATTATTCAATGGCTTCGTACCGGTATATTTGCTATTAATCTCCAATTGAATATATATCAGTGTGTTTAATTGTTTTTTTGTCTTCTTAAATGAAAAAAATGTTATTAGTAAGATTATTAGTCATAAGTACTCATTATATTATTGCAACACTGTAATGGATTAGTGTCGTATTTATCATTTATGTAAACTCATCACAAATTTAACTATAGATATCGAAAAAGCTAAATGAGTAAATTCTCTATGAAAAATCGAACTAGCATTACATTTACAATCTCGTTTTGTTTGGGGTATAATAGAATTAATTAGATGGGGGCACGTGCCATTCGTTTCGGAGCAAAGAGGCCTTTGTCTAATTAATGCAAAGTGGAAACCGTGTCATAGTAACTCGTTTGATCAATTCCTACGTTTGTGTTTATCAAATATATTGCAAAAACTATTTCTTTTTGAGGTGAAGTCAGAGTCAAAGATCGCCATATATATTATATTTTATATATTCATATTCGAGCTAGTGAGGAAAAAACCCAAAGTCATGCCATGAGGGGTTGACCAATAACTCTATGCGTATATATATGTGCTATCATCGAATTAAAATGAAACCCCCATGCAAACGAACAAACCTATCTATAACAAATTTACATGTCCGTACACATACAAAGATAAGTCAGATTATTTTTCCATTTCTTGGGGTAAAAATTAAGAAAACGAAGAAGATGAAGAGACAAGTAATGATCGTTGTTATGTTAGTTGCCCTTTTCGTTGTTTTCTTGGGAGTCAATCAAGTTGAAGCCATGAGGCCGTTCCCAACAGCTGCAGATGAGATCCGGTTAGTGTTCCAAGCGCTGCAAAGAGGTCCAGTCAGCGGGTCAGGTCGAAATGGTTGCACCAACATTCCCCGTGGTTCACGTAAGTGCCATGGTTGAATCTGACCGGTCACCTGATTCTTCTTCTTGAAAACGCAACCACAGATTCTTTGATTCTTTTTAACTTGCGATGGATGTAAATTTGTCTTTTGGTAGAAATTCCAAGCCCAAGACCATACCAATCTTTTATATTTTTCACCATTATGTAAATTGGACACAAAAAGATGGTGTGCCCAAACATGTTTTTTCGGCCAATATATAAACATATAATTTGGTTTAATTCGAAACTCTTTGTATCAACTGCATACTGTGTATAATGCTTTAGATGGTGAGTAATAAAATTGAATTATATATAATTAATGAATGAATTTGGTTGTTCCTAATGAATTTACTATACTCTTTTCCCGCAATAATACAGTTTTAGTGTGTTTTCCTAAGAATATCACATGCTTCTATAAATTTAAAAATAAACCACAAAACAAAATAGTGTCATAAATTTTAAACACGGTTACCAAGCCGGGCTACATCAAGTAAATAATTGAACTAACAGTTCTGCTCGTACATACAACATATAAATTATATAGTTTTGAAGTATAGACCAATTTGTTTAAAATTATCGCCCAGTCTAGTGTATGCTATATGTACCATTCTTCTGTTTGTTTGTTTGCACACTATCTCTTATACCATATAATTTTTATACAGTATGTATCCGTCATGTTCCAAACAAAAATCAAATTATAAATTTTTCTCCCAAATAGGGTCGTCGTGCCTACCAATCCACCATTATACATACTACCACAGTATTTGGTTACCATCACAATCATATTTCTGCGATCGTAGAACACTATGCTTCTAATTGTAAGACAAATTTAAAAAGAGAAAAAAATAAGTTTAGAAAGATTATTATGTGTTGTAGCTTTAAATCTTGGTGATATTGTACAGTAATAAATTGTTAGAAAGATTCATATATTATTGAATAATAAATACTTATATATTAACCAAAAAATTACATATGTAGTGTTCATAAAACAAATTAAAGAATAGCTAAGTTCATCAGCTAGTTTTGGCAGATAAACCAAGTTAATGAATACATATACATACATTTGCTTTCATATCTGTTACAACTACTCAGTCAAAATAGAACCAATACACAAAACTCATGACGTGACGGCTCACTTGCCGTGGCACGTGCCCGAACCTCCTGGGATGTTTGTGCAACCGTTTGGACCTGATACTGGAACCTGACCCCGTTGCAGCAGCTGGAACACGAATCGGATCTCACCGTCGAGTCTAGCGGCTTCCACTTGTGCAGTGTTCAAGAAAACCATTAAGAGGCCGAGCAAAATCACTCCAAGTATCAATTGTTTCTTCATCATCATTTATGTATCTTGTTTTGGTATATATTGAAAGTGAGAAAGGAAATATTTTTTTTTTTTTTTTTTTTTGGCACGTAAAAGTTGTTGTGTGTCTTTTACTCGTTGTTTGCTTTGTATATTACATTTAGTTTGATTATGACTTATATATATAGGGTTTTCTGATGATGGTGTTGGTTGATCCGTCAGCTTGGTGCCTTTGTGTGATAATTTCGGTCTTACTTGTGGCTTGACTTTTACTAGGAAAGACTTGGTTTTCAACAATTTGAATCCAAAGCTATAGGAATTGATCAAACCAAGTTAAGGACACGGTTTTTTGCCTTGGACCGCAATCTATATCATTTATCTGCATTTTCAGCGAGTTTAGTAGTTAACTCGATCGTACGTAACTGGTTATATCGAAGCATGCATTGTGGGTCAATTCAATCGGCTTTAAAAACTTATTCCAATGCTTTTTTTTTTCTTTTTTTGAAAAATACTTATTCCATTGTTCAATACAGAACTCTAATTCTCAGTCTTTCTGTTTTTGTTTTTTTTTTGTCAATATTTATGACGACGATTTATATTCGAACATGGGAGGTCAGAATGACATGATAACATATAAAAACCGGAACCACTAAGCAAAAAGAACTTGGAAACTGTCAAATGTCTCAAAAAGGGAACTCAATGAGAAAAAGAAATTCAATTGGCAAGTTTGATTCAGTCTCAACTCTTAAAAGTCTCTCGACCAATGAATACATACAATATATTTTATCGGTTGGTACTTAAGCATGTGTATGAAACACCCTTTTAATTAAATTATATATAACTAACTACCGTATTGTATTCATTGTCACAGTGAAATTTTTACTAACCAACAAAAAAGACACGTGTAGGATCATATTTAAAGCCAAATTTACTATACTAACCTTTTTTACAGCGCTAAATTCACTGTGAAGCGTTTTAAGTTTTTTGTGTGATTTTTTTTTTTTCTTTCAGTTTGCTTTAATTGACGGAGTTGACTTTGTGTGGCGCGGGTAACATATATTTGACTTTTCTTGCGGCGGCGCTAAGAACCGTCGATGCTTCCGGTGAACAGAACCAAAGCTCTTTTATCAATCCTGAGCCAAGTCAAAACACTACACCATACCCAGCAGGTTCACGCCAAGGTCATAGTCCATGGATTCCAAGATGAAGTTGTTCTCGGATCCAGTGTCACTAACGCTTATATCCAATCGAATCGTCTCGATTTCGCAACTGCTTCTTTCGATCGAATCCCTTGTTGGAAGAGGAACCGGTATTCCTGGAACACGATTCTCTCTGGTTACTCCAAATCCAAGAGTTGTTATAGTGACGTCTTGCTTCTTTACAATAGCATGAGGAGGCATTGCGATGGCGTTGATAGTTTCAATTTGGTGTTTGCGATCAAAGCTTGTGTTGGTTTAGGGATTTTAGAAAATGGGATTTTGATTCATGGCTTGGCGATGAAGAATGGGTTGGATAAGGATGATTTTGTTGCTCCGTCGTTGGTTGAGATGTATGCTCAATTCGGTAATATGGAAAGCGCGCAGAAGGTGTTCGACGATATTCCTGTTAGAAACTCACTTCTCTGGGGAGTTCTGATGAAAGGATATTTGAAATACTCCAAAGACCCAGAAGTGTTTCGTTTGTTTTATCTCATGAGCGACACGGGTTTTGCGCTCCATGCCCTTACATTGATATGTTTGGTAAAAGCTTGTGGTAACGTTTTTGCTGGTAAAGAAGGGAAATCAGTGCACGGATTATCTATTAGAAGGAGCTTTATAGATCAGAGTGATTATTTGCAAGCCTCCATTGTAGACATGTATGTGAAATGTAGACTGTTGGACGATGCTCGTAAACTATTTGAAAGGTGTGTTGATAGGAATGTGGTAATGTGGACCACGCTGATTTCTGGGTTTGCAAAGTGTGAGAAAGCTAATGAAGCGTTTGATCTGTTCAGGCAGATGCTGGGAGAATCGATACTTCCAAATCAATGTACTTTGGCAGCCCTTCTTGTTTCTTGCTCGAGCTTGGGATCTCCTAGGCACGGGAAGAGTGTTCATGGCTACATGATAAGGAGTGAGATTAAAATGGATGCTGTAAATATTACATCTTTCGTTGATATGTATGCGAGATGCGGGAATATTCAAATGGCCCAGAAGGTTTTCGATATGATGCCAGAGACAAATGTCATATCGTGGAGCTCTATGATCAATGCTTTTGGGATAAATGGTCTGTTAGAGAAAGCTCTGGATTGTTTTGATAAAATGAAGTCGCAAAACCTAGTTCCCAATTCTGTGACATTTGTTTCACTTTTGTCAGCCTGTAGCCACTCAGGAAATATCAAAGAAGGATGGAAGCAGTTTGAGTCGATGACAAGAGAGTATGGAATTACGCCAGAGGAAGAACATTATGCGTGTATGGTAGATTTGCTAGGTCGAGCTGGTGAAATTGGGGAAGCTAAGTCATTTATCGATAATATGCCTGTGGAACAAATGGCCAGTGCTTGGGGAGCTCTTCTTAGTGCTTGTAGAATCCATAAAAAAGTCGACTTAGCAGAAGAAATCGCGGAGAAGCTCTTAACTGTAGAACCCGATAAATCAAGTGTCTACGTTTTGCTTGCTAACATATATGCTGATGCTGGTATGTGGGAGATGGTGGATTGTGTGAGAAGAAAAATGGCTGTGAAAGGATATAGAAAACCCGTGGGGCTATCTGCTATTGAAGTTGGCTAGAACATATAGCTATTGATTCCTGCAGCATGGTTTTGATGAAGAACATATGAAATATGACGCACCAGGGTAGAGAGATGATGGAAATTAATGTGAGAGAGTTACTTGGGAAAACTTCCAAATTTAAGCTTTAACTCGTTGCAATCAACTGTATCAGAAAAACCACGAAGATGAAGATGAAGATAGTTGATGAGAGTACGAGCTGGTTTCTGCTGCAGTCAAAGTTGCTGTCATAAGATGCGTTGATATTCTTAGAACAATTGAAGAGGTTATATCTCTGATCTCTCTTTCTTACAAGGATCTTCGCTTATCAAAAGCTAATTGCGAGCTGGATTTTTCCAAAATACAAAAATCGAGCTCGTTTGCTCAGCTTCAAAATATTGTAAACATTTTTTTAAATTTTCTGGCTTCAAATATTTAGTACCGGATTATTTTTGCATTGCCAATATACAAATAAGGTGTTTCTGGAAAAGATCTCACTGCCCTTTAGAACCTTACTTTTATTGAAATCTAGGATACACATTCTAACATTGCTGCAAATTGCTAGGTTGCAGTTTGAACTATCTCTTTCCTACTTTCATGTAAAGAAAGCTTTCAAGTGATCTGAGAAACTTCTGGTTTGCACATACCTGATTGAATATGAAGGGTTAGTTCTCCACTCTACGATCTGTCACAGGTGTGATTGCCAAATCTCAAAATGAGCAAAGGAATGCCTCTGCTGCTCCAACTGATTCTATCTATCTGCTTATATGCTAATATCATTCTCAGTTTCCTGTACATATCCAGCTAATCCCATCTGCTCATATATCTCATCAAGCAACAAGAAAACCTCATCTGAAGCTGAGTGAGACTTATCAGCTGCAGCAAACATATGGTCTCGTTTATCTATCCGAATCGAACTTGTCCCAGGACATATCTTTTCTATACCCAACTCTTTCATTCTTCCCCTAACCTCTGCAACCTCTCTCCACCTGTTTTCTTCTGCATGCATGCTAACTAAAAGGAAATAATACCCACTATTTGTCGGCTCCAAAACCATCAATTTGTTAAAAGCAATCTCGGCTATCTCTAGATTCTTGTGAATCCTGCACCCATCAAGCAAGGCCCCCCAGATAACCGCATTTGGCTCAAACTCCATATTTCCAATTATTTCAAGAGCCTCATAGATCAACCCAGCTTTGCTTAGTAGATGAACCATGCATCCATAATGTTCAACATTAAAGACAATGGAATAGTCATCAATCATGCTATCATATATCCTTCGGCCTTCCTCTACAAGACCTGCGTGAGTACACGCAGTTAGAACACTCACGAAAGTGACTGTGTTGGGTTTGACTGACTCTGACTTCATCTTGGCAAACATTTTCAGTGCTTCTTGTGCACAACCATGAGCTGCCAGGCCTTCAATGATCGAATTCCAACAAAAGAGATTCTTTTTTGGCAAATTGAAGAATATCAGAAGTGCCCGCTCTAAGCTACCGCATTTAGAATACATATCTACAAGCGCAGAACCTATGTAAACATCAAGAACAAACCCGTTCTGGGTTGTGTACTTGTGAACCTCCTTACCTATTTCTAGCACACCGAGATGAGCACAAGCTGAAACAACAGTTGACATAGTGACCTCATCAGGAATAATCCCTTCCTCCGTCATTCTGTAGAACACTGCAACTGCTTCACTATATCTCTTGTTGTGCGAGTAACCGTTGATCATAGTGGTCCATGAGATTGTGTCCTTCACAGGCATCTGATTAAACAATGACTCTGCTATTTCCAGATTGCCTAATTTTGTATATCCATCAATCAAACAGTTCGACGTAGCAACATTCTTCTTCGGCATTTGGTTAGCTAAAGAACTCGCCGATTCCATATCCATGACCTGGCGATAAGCTGAAACCATCGTGGTCCAAGTAATATCATCTCTTTCAGGCATTTCATCAAACACTTTCCTGGCTTCCCTGATTTTACCAGAGGATGAATAAAAGCCAATAAGAGTCGTCTGAATCTGAACATGGAAACCAAATCCAAATTTGAAAATGTGCGCCTGAAGTGATTCCCCAAACCCAGAAGCGAAAGCAGAAGCCTTTACCAGTGAAGAGTATGTGTAGCTAGATGGAGAAACCGAGTCTCTGAGCATACGAATATAGAATTCCAGAGAACGAGTCGGGTAGGAACAAGTAACTAAGCCTTTAATCAACGCGTTGTAAACAAATACATTAGGTTCCTGCATCTGGGTCATGGAGTAAACGGCAAGATCAACACGGTTAAAGGAAGTGCAGGCAGTGATGAATTGGTTCATTAAGCGATTGTTTTCGTTTTGGCTCATCTTGATCATGGCGGCTAAAGCAGACTCCAGAAGCTTGGGGCTCGAGCATTGCTTGATTAGCTGTAAAATGGGAAGTTTTTGGAAGAGTGAAGTAGAGCAACCTCTGAGGAGAAGAAGATGGTAAGAGTGTGCCCGAAGACTATGCACATTGGCCGAAGCATTCATGTAAGAATTTGAGGTTGTCGATAAAGTTACAAACTTTGAAATCTTAATTAAAAGGTATCAAACAAACTTTCTCGGATAAACAGAGGATTGCAGTTTTACCAGACAAGATATTGTGCAATAAGGACATTAGGCCAAAAATCAATACGAAATTGTTTCCATAAGAACAAAAAAGACACACCTTTTAAGACTTTATACCCTACCCCCAAAAAAAAAGTGTCACACAAACACACTGCACTATACATTCACAAGCTTTTTTTCTTGTCTCTGTTTCATCTTGCTAGTCAATCTTTATAGTTGTTGATACATGATGCGACGAGTCCCCTGCTGCTACCTGTTAATTGTGGCCTTGGGTTGAAATATCTGCACAAGAGACCACAAGATGTCCATCCTGTGCATTACTTTGTTGTTTTGGCCCTGCCATTCATTAAGAGTATCCAGTTATTACATGTGATATAACAATACAATGATCAAGGAAAACTTCCAGAATATTTTGTTTGTTTTCTATCACGATTTAAGACAAAAATAAAGTCGTTTGGTTCCAGAGTTTTAAATATAGTCCAATGGAGGGATATTCAGATCCTCATGTGTTGGGGTCTAATTCATGAGGTGTGTGACTTTAAAGTGGAGACATTTCTCCCTTATTCCCAAATACGTACCTCCACTACGAAACATATCCATGTTTTCTCGCCTTGTTTCTCTGTGATGCCTCTAAGGATGATGAGTTCCAAGCTCCTTATCACGTTTGCTATCTCGAGAAAGTGGCTACATTCTTCACATAACATCTGTTCAACATCCAAAACACACTCAAGAATTCAGGATGATAAATGCAGAGTTTGCCAGTCCTTCTGCCAAAGTGCTTCAAATACATTGGAAAGGTCATGAGAAAATAAGACACACCTCGATAAGCAATACTCCTTCTTTGTCCAGATTCTCTACCATGATCGAGCACACTTGAAGATGGCCTCCAATCTCTACTGCCCAGCTCGAACCTTGCTCAGTGCTAGATGATCCTAAGGTGCCGGTATCCTTCTGTTGCATCTGCAACTTCAAAAGTATAAACTTTTCAGAAAACTTCATCAAAAGTTTGATAATTGATATATCAATCAGCCATGAATAACCGGCTATGTCCCTTCACAGACCATGGAGAATATAAAGCAAAACTTTTCTTAGGAAAACGAGATATTATTAAGACACCTACGTTTTTTACCTTTGAACTTCCACTTTTACTGAGCTTGTCAGCATGCTTAGAGACATTCTGCAGAAAGAGCATGTGCTTGATCGTGCACTCTAGCAAAGAATCAATACTGCACTGTAAAAGATAACAGCATTGTTAGAAAATAACAGAATAAAATGTACAATTCATGACCTTAACTGCATGAGTTCCGTCAATCACATTGCTTTGAATAGAAAAAAATCACCTTCGATCCATTAGGCACAAGCTCCCTTAGTTCTTTAATACGATCCTGAATAAGTTGCCTGTCCCTTGGACGAGGCCGAGAACTTTCACCTGGTTTAGCTCTCTTTTTGTTCTTCTTGGGATTTTCCAAGGACGTCGGAAACTGGTCGCCGGAGGAACTCAGACATGTCGTTGAAAACCCAATAGAAGAAAATGCCCCACAGATATTTGATGGATTCTGTTGGGTATGCCCCTCTGCTAGAGGCGGCTGGCTAGTCACACTATCGACTGGGCTAACAATACCATGTTTTTTATTACCAAAAGGTACTGCCTCTGCGATTTCAGCAGTTGTAAGCAATGATTGCATCGACCTACTTGACGATATTTCACGCCTGACATTACTATCACCATTATTCATACTCGCAACCACGGCATCTAGAAGATTCTCAGGGCTGGAGTCAAATGTCAGGTGACTATGGCTCATATCATTTGTTCGTCTTATAGCTGCAGCAGATTCAAACTTTGCTAGGTCCTCATAAGCAGTGCTCGTTTTACTGAAAGCAGGCCCTAATGCCTCTAACAGTTCACTTCCAGAAAAAGAAGACAAAGGTGCAGTTAAAGCATCCAACTGACTTGACTCAACTGTCTTCTCCTGCCTATTTTCTGTGTCTTTTACATATATGCTTCTTTGGCCCTCCGATGGTTGGAAAACCTCCTCATTTCGATGAAATGAATCTTTATATGTTTTCAACGCAGTAAGAACAACTGAATCATGTTGTTGATATGATGGACTTGCTTTTAGTCTATCAGTATCCATTGCAAAAGCAGATGAGCCTGCACTATTAGGCACATGATTCCTCGAGTACTGTTGGAAATTAGGACCTGATTCTCTTGAGTATCGGTAACCACCAGTACCCTCATCATAAGTTACCTTACTCATATCATTTATACCCACTTGATTCTTGTGTTTAGTATCAACCACGTCAACTGAAAAACCACTTGTAACACCATCATTTCTTCCAAACATGGAAGGTTGGACTGCTTCAAGCCCACCAAGTACGTGAGCAATCTTCTCCGTGTGAAAATATGATGGAGTGAAATTGTATGGAAGGTCGTCACTTCTATTACTTTTGTTTTGAGATACAATATTTAACCCTTCCACATCCATAGCTTTGTCAAATTCTCCTGAGAAATCAGGGAATGCCTCATGTAAGCATTTGGAAGGGATTTTTGGCTGCAGCAAAATTATACAACGCATCATGGTTATACTCAGCAATACAACTGGGGTCAGAAGCGATAAAAAAACCCAAAGCCCTTCTCTTTCAATTTCGTACGAACATAACTAGAACTGGCGAAAAACATGAAACAATGTTTGCACGAGAAAGATCATTACCAGATCCGAAGGGCTATTATTATCACATCGCATTAAACTTGAAGCATGGTTTGCCAGTGGATCCTTGAGAGCCAAAAACAAATGCCTGATATGAGTCACCCAAGCCGGGTCTTCATTAACCTGTTCAATCAAAAGTATACAGGACGATCACATTTTTTTTTTTTTTTGTCAACTGGACAATCACATTCAAATGTTCAATGTGAAAGCTTTCTTTCTTCCTAATATTTTTTTGTGTAAGTTACTCTGAACACAGAATACGGTTAGAACATCTTACTTACTTACTTTACACAAAGAACCAAGCTGCACAACTCCACAAGAACCAACAGCTACTATAAGAATAGTCTGCAGAGAATGAAGAAAAAAAACTGTCGTAAAAACTTGAAATGCAAACTTTGAGGAAAACAAAGTTAAAAATTTGTCAAACGGAGAAAAAAAAGAGACAAATAGGTGCACGTGCAATGTCTAATCTAATTAGAAATACCAGGGAAATTTTAACAACAAGAATATCTCAGGCGATATATAACAATATGCAAAAGACATGGATATCTAGACATTCAATAACCAGAGCAAGAAAAACAAATAAATGAAAACGTATCAGATACCTTGATTCCAGCAGAAATTTGACTCTCCCAACCGTTGTGAACCTAAGGGAGAAGAAAAAAACTTATCTTAAGACAAGAAGTTGCGAACTAAATTTTCAAACTCAAAGTACATAATTCCCAACCTGAAGTGTCGAGTGAGAGTCATTCAAATATTCAGTGAAGACCCATTGATGTTGTTCAGAGCTTGCAACTTGTCCTACAACCCTATAACAATAGAGAGATATAAATGAAGATGTTAGCACCATTAAGTAAAACTCAATGATCAAAACAAATTAATAGGTCATGTTCCTGCTAGAAGGATCAATATCAAGTCCCAAGACAAGCCGAGATATGAGTGTTACATCATGTAGTCAATGCCAAAGAAAGAAAAGTTAAAAGAGTAAAGTTTAACTACATGAATGTCAAACTGTGATACAACCAAGCTAGAAACAAACCAAGTCTTTCTTTAGTTCAACAACATCAATAAAAGATCTCAAAGTAATGAAGATAGCAAGAGTATTAACAAGAAAAGTCCATCAGCAAGCAAAGTTTCCTTACCCTTCTCCAAGAGAGTGTACATGATATGACATTTTAGCTACAGCTAATCCAAGGGGGTCATGTGCATAGGGCCCTTCATGAAAGTTTCCCGGCATCAAATTGCGATTATGATTAACATAGTACACATCGTCCAAAGTAAGCACCCTGCAAGTGTTTTAATAGTCGATAAATGAGAAACTTCTAATTGTCTTTTAGAAAGAGAAGTTTTTGGTTCATCCTTAAATACACTAAGCTCTCCATAGTTGTCTCTAGGTAAAGACTGATTTCGGAACAAGCACATATATTTAAAAAGGACCTGTATGGAAATATTACTGCCTAACGTATGAATGACTTTACTAGTTCCATGAGAGTAAGCAGATAAGTAAACTAACTAAACAATGAAAGCTATCGAAAGGCCAAACTTGACAATTTATAAGGTTCCGACAGTTCTTCTACATTCAAAAAGTTGACAAACATATTGACTATACCTCTCAAAGCAACCAGAACAATCTTAAAGCAAGCAGAACCAAGAACATCCAATGTCTCCACGGATAAACACTAAAAACAAAACAAAACTTTTGGATGACTTACACTGGAGAACGGTGATTGAGTTTCCAGAACACGGCATAGTTCCAATCCGTATTGGAGCAGAGGCTCCTCAGTATTTGTTGTAAAGTAGAACCCATCTAAACCACCCGTCACCACTAAAACTCAAAATCACCCCTCTTAAACACTTTAAAAACCAAAATTTGAAAGGGTCCTAAACCCTGATTCTGTATCAGTCGGACAAAAATGTGTGTCTAAAGATGAAAAACTTTCCCACCCAAAAAGAAACTCTTTTTTTTTTTGTTATTTCTGCCTATTGATGAACTACGAATCTACTAACTACCTCTGTAAGAACCTCTCCCAGCTTGTTCCCTTCGCAATCCAGCTCTCGGGTTTATTGGTGGACCTACTTCTCCCAGTGAATATTGCCTAGTTCCCATTCCTCCCCCAAACATAAACAAACCTAGCTCGTAGAAGAATTTGAGATCGAAGAAGAAGAAGAAGAAGATGATTGGAAAAACAGAGTCTAGCTTATGTCATGAGACATTGATCCTTTTTCTAGAGATGATACGCTCTGAATCTGCATCTAGAAAAGAAAAACAAAAAAGCTCACAAAAGTCGGAATCTTTGTCGAGAAATCCACCGGTGAAAGATAAACTCTTTTGAGTAAGAAGTGAGTGAGAGAGAGAGAGAAACGCAGAGTTGTGCTAAAAAGACATCTCCTTTTTTTAAAGGGGCGTTGAAGAAATTGAGGGTCAGTAACTTTAACAAGGCTCAGTTTAGCATCCGTGGAAATATATAAAGAGTTATCGTGCGCCTGGGATAGGTGCGTATGTTAACCCTAGGGTAGAGTAGTAGTGTGGGGGTGGATTGAAACAAGCATGGGATTTTATAACGTGGAAAAAAAAAACATTCGAGTGATATGATCTCTATTAATGGCCAACAATATGATTCACCGAGTGAATATTTGTTTCCTTATACCTTTTTTTCATCATATATATATACACAAATGTTTTCCAGAAGTTTTTGCTTTTGTAAGTACAAGTCCATGGTGTTTGATTTTAGGAAATAATGAGTCTATATATGTTTTAGATATATGATCTGTTATGTGTATCATTCGTTCTCCAACACATTTCAAAGAAGAAGAAAGGAATGTGTGATGGGATTGTGGTCCATACAAAATCTATGGGAATCTAATGATTGTTAAGATAAAAAAAAAAAAAAGATCATATATCTTTCTCCAAACAAATTCCATTTGTGTTTCTCCTCTTTCACTTATTAATTTTCTCATGGTGTTTGTTCCTTTGGGTCGTTGACTACATAATATATACCTAAATGACAATACACATGTGAGAATGGCCAAAGTTGTGAGTCAGTAAAGTAGTATACATAACCCTAAAATAACAAGATCCTTTTCTTCATCAAGAGTCTATATGTATTTTCCTTAATAAATGTTGGAGGAAGTTGTTATATATGAAAAAGAGACAAGTAGGTGTAGGTGGAAAGGCTTTGTTAATTTGGGAAGCCTTAAGCCTCACCTTTCGCTTTCAATTTCACACTTCTTTCTTTGACATTTTTCGACTTGAGACAGCACATTTCATTTTTCCTTTTTGTTTTTAATGTATATTCTTTACTAATGATGTATAACACTCTTTTTTTTCTTCTGTTTTTTGTTTGTGCGTAGTGTATAATTGTATACCGTCAGAAAAAAAGGAAACCGAAAGTTGTATGACTTTTTAGTATTCAAAAATATAATTTCTCTCTTTTGCATGTTTTTGTGGACGAATCCCTAATTCAAGAATACATTCAACGATTTTTAGCCATATGGAATAAAAAAAAAAAAAAAAGATCATAACTTCTTCTTTTTGGTCAACATTATACCACAACTTTTACTAGTGTTTATATAATTAGCATGTGACATATAACATAAGAAGAAGAAAAAACCAGATATGTGTACTTGGTGGTATCAACGAATTTAGCAAATCCAAACTTAAGTTGGTTAACTAGTTAAGTTACGTACATTGCGGCATACAACTTTTTCATTAAGAAGCCCATCACGACTTTATCTCATTTAAAGATTAGTCCCTAAAGTTAAAGTTGAAACATAACTAGGCCCAACGTAAGCCCAATCTAAATTTTCCCTTTGTTTATCCAGGCCCAGGCAACCTTAGAAATTTAAATTATGATATAAAGCTTAAAATCGTTTCATTGCTCTTTTTTTTCAAGATCGCATCGTTTTAACCAGAGTGTATAATTATTTGATCTAATTCATGGTTTATCTAGTTTATTATTATATAAGTAAACTGGCAGAAAATTATTAATTTTACTAGTACAAGCTTTTTATGATGGAAAAATATCTTAATTTTGTGATTTATAAATTTTGGAAGAAATGTTATGTCTAACTTTTTTTTTTTTTTTTGTCTTCATCTATATATGTGTTCTTAACTTCTTATATACACGTTACAATGATTCGCGTGTCATTCCATCTCTAATTTAGCGACAACAATACTGTTAATTCTGAGTCTTTTTTGCTAGTAATTAGTTTAGATAAACCCGTTATTATCAATGCTTTCTTGTATATCCTTAAAATAAATGAAACTAAACGTAGTAATATTCATAAGATACATAGCTCGAACAGACTTATATACTAAAAACCTTGTATTTAATATTTCTATATTACTATACTTAATTTGTGAAGCATAAGCTGTACTAGTTAGCCATTATTTAAGTAACTAAGACCAGATAGATAACTAATATATACTATATAATTGCAGCTGAATATTTTGGAGGCACCTTCATAAATCATAACCACCTCTCTAGCAATATTTTTGTCACTGGCGTCTAACGAACGATCAACGGACACAGTTGAAGTGAGGGAGACAATTTTACTAAATTTAATTTGTTTTTATTTCGTTATATATGTTTCAGTGTGTGGCTATATCCTATGTATATATTATATATATTAGATACTATATATATTTATTAATGCATACGTTGCACTCATACAAATAAAAAGAAGAAAACAATAAGCTTTCAATTTTTATCGTGTGTGGCGACTAAATCATGCCCATATTAATAAGCACGTGCTGAAATTGGGAGATGCATGCACTTTCTTCCTTTCAAATGAGGGATATATAAATAAAAGTCCACATGTTCACAAGATTCCTTTTTTTTTTTTTTGTCCCAAATATTTAACTTATAATTGAGTCTGTCGACTATTAATACTTTATTATCTGGCAAGAAACTACATATTACGTACGTTTTTTTTATAGTAGAAAATAAGTGGATGACTCAAAAAAAAAAAATCACAATAGCTTTTTCCTTTTTCTACTTGCTCACAATTTTCTTCAAATTTTTTAGTTATATATATATATAATAAACACAAATTAGAAAGTGTAGATTTTAGAGTGTTGCTGCTTTTGGGAAGATCATCCTTCTATTATTATTATATAAAATAATGTTTTAACAGAAACTCGTAAAAAATATTTCCGTAGACAATGCCAAAAAAAAACAAAACAAAACAAAAATATACAAAAATATTTATTATTAAAATAAAAAAATCCCTCAATCGCTTTCCCTTTAGCAAGTTGAGCCATTATTATATAGAATACTATACCAACTACTAGATTTGCTGGGTTTTTTTTAATAATTATGTACCAATCTAAAATATTATTGATACTAAAGTAGGGACATTGAATAGCATGCATGTCTAGATTTTCTTGGTCGCGAGGAAGAAAAGAAATGAAAAAAAAAAAAAAACAGTTTTTGACCTACAAATTTTAAATGTTAACAAAAATAATTGGGTATACCTTTGACCCTAGCTAGCTAGCAGCAGACTTATTAGCCGAAGGCTCGAGCACAAAAAATAAAACAAATAAAAAGAGAGAAGAGAGTGTGCAATATGTGCAATGCATGCACCCGTCTCTCTTGCGCTACAGAGTTATTATTTGTATTCTCAAGTTGCGCGATATCAGCCAATTACATTTCAATGGTCCACCACTAATAATCTCTATAGGCCAAGGCTCATCCCACTAAATTTATTTTTATAACCTATACATCTTTTTATAACCCCCTTTATTAGTTTGGTATAATCCTCTTCTTCATTAAGCGTACGTTTGATAATCATCTTAATTTCTACTACTTTTATAAGTATCACCTGAGTTTTACATCCAAAATTTATTCGTGAAATTAATAGTTGAATTCGAATATGCCTTCTCGCATGTTTGATGCTCCCCGCCCCCATTGTCTATTGACCTAAACTCTAGACTAATTACGTACGATAAATGGTTTACACGTAAATATATAAATTTATTTCAAACCCTAGTTGTATTAACAATTCTTGCTGGAAACTTTTGAGGATGTGTTTGTTTCGAAGCTGAGGAATATTAACTTTTTTTTGTTTGTGAATTTATATGGTCCAACAATTATATGGTTCACGCACAAAGTCACATGTGTAGATGAACAAAACAAGATCTTTATTACTGACCACGAACAGAGTTTCCAATGTGCGTGGCAAGATAAAAAAAAGACAGTTAAAACCTGTTTTATTTGGTTTTCGAAGAAAGTGATTCTACGTTGGTCTTTTGTAATCAATAGAAAACTTGTTTTTAACACAAAAATGTAAAATCTCCATAAATTTAATATCGACCACGCATATATAATACTGTTATATTCAAAATAATTATAAGACAAAAAATCGTGAGCATATAGCTCCAACAGAAATATAGCAAATTTTTTGGTGATAATGATATGACATTGTATGAAGGGGTATGCACTTGGACATTTGAGTCAATATCAATCTAAGTTTATTTACATATATATGGAGTAAAACTTAGAATATCTTTTTATTATATTTGTATATTTCTCAGTCGTTGACGTCCAACAACTTATCACTCTGCAAAACTATCGCATAACTGTTTGACAAAAAGGGAAAGCAACTTAATTTTATTGTTTTTTTATAACACATGAGATTTGTTTCTTCATTCATATATACCTTTTATAGTATAGCTCTTGGATTAAATTAAACATATCCATATACAGAAAATTATATTCCAAGAGGAACTTTGAGAAAGAAAAAAGTCCCATTCAAAACAATGCAATAATATATATCTCTTAAGAAAAAGTTAGCAATGAATCAAGTTAGATCAATCCGTGTGTATCTTTTTCTGCTCATATAGGAGATATACAAAAACATGAGAGTTTATTTATATATGTATACAACATAAACTGGTAGATCAAATAATAAAGAAGATAAAGAAAAAGCTATTACTCGCGTGGAAGGACTAATTAAGCGCGAGATAAATCACCCATATATGCATGTTAACATGACTCTAGCTAGGCTAGGCTAAGAGAATCAAAAGAATCCAAAGCTCATTGTCGCCCGCCGAGGGGTCCAAATGTCTAATGATTTCGTAGACTTCGTTCGAATTGGAACCTTCTTATCTTCTGTCAATTTATCAGACCTTCAAGTTGCATCCATGCGACCCCACGTCTGCCCAATACCCCTTCTGATTTTATATACTCCAATATATGGGTTTCCTCATTTATAGTGAACGTACGTACGTGAGACACCTTTCTAGTTTCTACTGTGTATACTATTTTTACAGAGTTAATGTGTTATTTTCTTCTTTTATTAACACAAAATGTAATTTTCTTCTTCAAAAAACTACCGTAAATAATAAAACCTCCAGTATTTAGGAATCCAAAAATTATACTCTTATTTGTTATTTCTATAAATATATATTGTAGCTGAAATATAAATGACCTGTCTTACGTTAAAAAAAGGCACAAAAGTACCTTAATTAATATAAACCTATTGATTCGTTTTTTCTTCTTATAGTTAAAATCAGTAGAAACTTTTTGTTCCATAAAATTTATGTTAAAATAGTTTTAAAAGATCACTCGTGGCATTGTTTTAGAAACAACATTAGTTAGTACATGCATCAACTGAAACCGACCTAAAGTTTGACTATTTTAATTACATTTTTTTTTTGGGGTCACAAATGTAAACTAAAGCAGTACTAACTCAAAGGTGATAATGCATGGAGAGTAGATATGTGTGGACTCCAAAAGATAAAGGGACAAGTCATATCAAGTGTTGAAAATACTTTTCTATCAGCAATTATAGTGAAACAGAAGCTTTGGCCTTGTCTATGCGTAGATGTTGTTGTAAAACTCGCTAATGCTCCAATTATGGAGGTGGCGGCGACAAAACCTCTGGCCAATTCAAGTTCTTGATCGTGTACGACGAGAAGAAAAAAAAACATCAAGTCAATTTCGTGAAGCGATTATTATTATTATGTCGTAGTCAATATTTAAACCCTAACAAGGGAGACTATCATTCAACGAAATATTTGACCAAAATATTTTTCATTTTGTAAATCTCTCATTAGCTGGTGAATTGTGATTACGCTAGGTCATGGAATGAATAATTATTCACAAATGGTGATCGAAGTGACAGTATGACGACTTAATGATTAACTATCTCTGCTATAAATCATTCAACCAAGCGTTTAATTAAGTTGTTCTACTAACATTTTTATGGCCTTTATAAAATAAAATGAAAGAAAAAATCTATGATGCACGGTGAATAACTGAATAATATTAGGAACATGTGAAAAACACAAATATAATAACTATGCATAAATTAATAAATAAATAAAACCTATGCATGTTAAGACGTTGAAAGAGATACCCTAGCTGTTCATGGCTTGTAGTCGCATGTTTGACCCATTTAGCCGCATATTGCCTAATAATTATTGATTTATTGTCAGTAAAAACATCTTACAGTTTAAAATGTTCAAGTATTATATGCGGCTTGATCGTTTATATGACATTGCATAGTAATTAGTATAAAACTCAAATCATGGACCAGGCAAAAATGACTACGTATACGTCTTATAAATAAGTCCCATGAATATTATGATCAAGTATCAATCTTGGCATAGAAACTATACTAAAATCTGAATATTTTTTACCATCACTAAAAAGGAAAAACCAAAATAAAATCGCTGATAAATGACATTCCAGTAAAAAAAAAATCAAAAAAAAAAATCGCTGATTATATATTACCAAAAAAGATGTAAAATCAACTTCAATCTACAAAACGGAACCGTAAAAATAGATTCTGTTAATAGAAAGCTACATATATCTATCAAACTGAATTTAGTGGATAAATTAACAAAAACTCCAGGTTTTGATATTTTGCTTCCAGATCCAAATTAACTTTCAAATCCCTCTATCGACAACTCTATTACAGCACATTTTTATTGTTTGTTTTTTTTCAGAAGTAACTTCTCTATACATGAAAAAGTTGGTTTGGCATTCTTTTGGTACTCTTTAAGGTATTTTTTGTTTAGAGTAAAACTTAGACAAGAACTCTCTATTAACGACCGAGCGAGAGAGAGAGAGATGAAGACCAACGTGTCATATACTAGAGATGCGGTCATCTATTTTGTCGGAGACACGCCGCCGTACGTCATACCTCAAACTTGGTCTTGTCCCACGTGGAACAACAATTCACCCACTTCTTCAGTGTATCATCTCATTTCTCATAATAGTTTACAATTATCTCTAGATAGTCTTCTTCAGTGTATCATCTCATTTCTCATAATAGTTTACAATTATCTCTAGATAGATCCTACTATTACGTATTACTCCTCTTTCACTTTCTTCTTTCCATTATAAATAATATTAATATTTTTATCATCCAGCACCAATTATCTTTTTAGCTGGCCCCCATATTCGTCGGTTTTTATGATATGATAAATGGTGATCGAGTATTCGGGGGCAGCCTAATTGTCACATTGGACCCAATTGATATAAAATATATATTATAATATTATTATTTAGTATAATAGCCCCCCATAATTCAAATATCCAATCCGTTCATGTCTCGCTATATATTTGCCAAACTTATTAAGGAAGACTTCACCATAAGAAATAGAAACTGTTAACAAAGAAAGACAGAAAAAAGAAATTAATATGGAATCTCAAACTAGCTTCTTTAGTAGAGACTTTTCCCCGGAGAACTCTTCTTCAAGCTCATGGAGTTCACAAGAATCCTTCTTTTGGGAAGACAGTTTCTTACACCAATCATTTGATCAACCTTTCCTTCTATCTAGCCCTACTAATTACTACTCTGATGACTTCTTCTCATTTGGACCATCATCAATCATCAAAGAAGAAGAAGAAGATGATGCCACCGTAGCAGCCGAGGAGGAGGAGGAGGAGGAGAAGTCATACAGAGGAGTGAGGAAACGGCCGTGGGGGAAGTACGCTGCCGAGATTAGAGACTCAACGAGGAAAGGGATAAGAGTATGGCTCGGGACGTTCGACACCGCTGAGGAGGCGGCTCTCGCTTATGATCAGGCAGCTTTCGCTTTGAAAGGCAGTCTCGCGGTACTCAATTACCCATCTGATGTTGTTGCGGAGTCTCTCCGCAAGATGGAGAATGTGAATCTTAACGATGGAGAGTCTCCGGTGGTAGCCTTGAAGAGGAAACACTCCATGAGAAACCGCCCTAGAGGAAAGAAGAAATCATCTCCTTCTTCTTTCACATCATCTCCTTCTAATTCTTCCTCTTCTTCCTCTCCTTCTTCATCTTCGTCTTTGTCGTCAACAAGTAGAAAACAGAGTGTTGTCACGACGCAAGAAAGTGATACAACAACACTTGTAGTTCTTGAGGATTTAGGTGCTGAATACTTAGAAGAGCTTATGAGATCATGTTCATGATCAATTCTTATGTAATCTCAGTGAGCTCTGTTTTTTTTTGTTCCTTCTAATAATTAAATATATAGTTTTCTCTTTATTTTTTTTATCCGATGAAAGAGATGTGATGGCGATGTTGGAAGTGTATCAGACGTCAACTATTGCGTTGTTGTGGGAATTCATGTAATAAGTGAAATGTGTATATCTCTCTAGTCTACCGTAACGCTTATTTTCTTAATATTTATTTATTCAATAGTTCTAGAAAGCTGAACCGAGGGTTTCAAATAATATACTTATTACTCCAAAATTGAAAATTCTCTCAACCTTTGATGTCCGAGGAAATAAAAAGTCATCGAAAGAAACCTAGAATTTAACAAAACTCTTTTCACAGAGATACTTATCATCGGTCGAGTATAATTAATAAAAACTCTTATCACACGAAATAAAAGAGTCAAAGTCAGAAGAAAGAAAGTTGATAATTAAGAGAGTTAATATACTAAATATATTTGCTTATAAGGAGTACACGCTCTGTATCAAATATTCTGATATTAGTTATTCTTTGGGTTGCATGCATGACTGATGCTGTTTTCTCTGCACGATGAGCTTAATACATATTCGTTGTCGGAGGAAACTGTTCTAGCTGTCTAGCTTGACCTTGACGTATTCGATAATAGCCACCTTCACACACACACACACAGACACACACAAGAAGTTTGGATGTAGAAACTCCGATCCAATCATATTTCTTTGATTTTCTTCTTTAGTGTAAATGAGATTTTAAATTTATGTACACGTCATTGCTGATGTTTTTTTTCCTTATCATTATTATTAGTACTATTTATTACCCTATCCGTTTATTTCGTACAAGTCTGTTTCAATATAAATGCTGTTCTTATACTAGTACTAATCTAGTTTTTATGCGATTTAAATACACTCACACACACACACACACACAAAAAAGAAGGTTGTTCTGTTTAATTTGTTTTTTTTTTTTCATCTGTTCTGTTTAATTATTGTAATTAAGAATAGACAATTTATATTATTCTAGTCAAATTGTACATTATTCTGTTCAAATTGACGTTTATTTATGGCAAGTAATTAAGTATAACTGTGTAACAGTAAAAGTAATAGCAGTTCCATATTTTAAGCAAAAAAAAAGAAAAGAAAATCAGTTCCATCTAAAAACACTTGGCAGAATTAAAACCGACTTCAGTTGGGCCGCATTAACAACATTTTTGGGCTTTACCAGAAAGAAGCTCAACCAAAAACTAACCCTGAGCCAAAACGCACAGCTCCACTTAGCTGTTGATCCGGCGACAAAAATGTCAACATATTTGAACGCAGAGTATAAAAATGGTTATTACTAGAAACGTTTAAGATTTTTTTAAAAGATCATAGGGAAAAGATGGAACTCTGACATATATAATAAAAAAACCAATCAAAGAAAATTCTGGGTAAATGATTGGAACATGTAATTAAAAACTCCCAAAAAGAGTGAAAAAAAGAGAAACAGAGGCATAGCTAACAATGGGAAAATATCACTCACTAATGTGATTATTAATTATCCATAGTTATAGCAGTAAGTAACCAGCTGGATGAAAAAACGCATTAATCACTGGAGTAGCAGTGATAGCCATTGCTCATCGAAAGAGCTTCCATGTATTGTTTCTCCAACACTTCCATTACTCTGTCTGCTATGGCACTTGCATACACACTAGACCCTTCACAAATCTGTACAAAAATTCACAAATTAGCTAGTCTAATACGGTTTTTGAATCTGTCTGAATAAAGGGTTATGTTCAAAAGTTAATGACAAAACCTTGGTGTTGAACAAGAAGCTGTGGTGTTCTCCGATCTGTGCACCAGCTACATGGTGAAGATCTAGCTGAAGCTGGTCAATGACTTTGGATACGAACAACAAGCAATTGATTTTCTTCTTCTGCACGATCTTTATGGTTACTTCATCATCTATGATACGTACATCGACCTCAGTGAACTTCGATTTCCTCTTGAGCCACGAACATCTCAAGGCATTGTTCTTCTTATTGATCAAACATTGCTCTACCACTTCGCTTTGTGCCTTGAAGTTCTCATCAACAACATCGTCTCCTTCCCTGTTCCGCTGCTTTATTCTTTTCTTTTCCACTAGCAGCTTGAACTCATCGATCGTCCTTAGCAACTCTTTGATGTAATCTATGGCCTCTCCAACGATTGATGCTCTGTCATGCTAGAGGTATAGTTAAGAAAACAAAGGGTTTTAGTTTGTAGAGTTTATTACTTGAAGGAGAAGTTAATTAGTATATAAGTGAGTATAATAACCTTGGTGGGATTTGGAATTAGACTCTTTAAGTCACCGAACCGGTCTTTGAAGTGAACTCTCCTCTCGCGTTCGGTAGGGAAAACTTTCCGCTTTCTCGACCCTCTCCCTTTACGGCTAAGACCATCGTCGAGGTTGTTGTTTTCTTCATCATACATCAAATTCACTCCTTGGTTTGTCTCAGTTTGATACGGATCAACTCCTAGTAAAGTCCCGTTAGGAGGCTGCAAAGGGTGGTTCAGATGGAAGAGCGGGTCGTAGGCAGAGACAGAGGAAGATGTCATGATAATGTCTTGGAGGCTCGGGTTTGCAAAAGGCGGAAGCGAGGATCTAGGCAATTGCAAGAGACTGAGTAGGTCAGGAGTTGTGTGGTTAGGGCCTAAATTGACAAAATCTTGGTAACCATTGTCCCAATGATTCGAGTGCTGTGCATATGAAGAAGGGTCTTGAAGGGTCTGGAACTGATGATGATCACAATGAGGAGTAGTAGCATTGATGTGAACCTGATGAACATAAGCTGAGGCAGAGGCAGCTAGAGAGGAGCTTTGTGGGCTGAGGTGGAACTCAGAGAGGTCTTCTAGACTGCAGTTGCTGTTGCTACCGAGGACTGTGGTGGCGGGTGGTGGCTCGGCCGGAGAGAAACTGCTCTCAGCCGTCATTTCAGCCGGAGCATTAGGATCAAAACACCCAATTTCTTCAAACATGCCTCCTCCTCCTCCTCCTTCCATGAAACAGGTCCAAAGTGGTTCCAAAATCTGCAAACGTTTACATAATTTTGATTTCTAGTAAAAACTAAGAATACAGTATATAGATATATAAAGAGAAGTAGAACCTAAACTCGAACAAATCAGCTCTAACCATCTTTATAAATCAACTTGTACGCCTAAAGCTAAGATATATAAATTCTTGTAATATCTAGTGAATGATCACCACTGAACAGCTAATAAAAGTTATAATTAGAAATAAGAGAATATGTTTGTTATTACCGTCGGCGGAATATGTTTGTTGTTACCGTCGGCGGATGATTTCTCCGATTAAAGAATCAGAACTCATGCCAAGTAAAGAGACATAACATAAACAACTCTAACTCTCTCTCTCTCTATCTCTCTATCTCTCTCTTTCTGTCTTTTTGAAATGCCTATACGTTTGCAATTTGGGAGTACCAATAAAAAGAGAGGAAGGAAGGAAGCTGAGATTTTTTTTATTTTTATAATAAACAATTAATATAAAAATACATTTGGTATTTATTTATTTTGTGATGGTCGATGAGGTGACAAAACTGTCAATTTCAAAACAAACCCTTTTTTTTTTTGAGATTAAAATTTCATAAAGGAAAAACATGTCCTCCTTTGTACCCTTACATTCATAATTGGATACTAAAATAAAAATTGTGGGACTCAGGCTCTAAACAGCTCAGTTTATTTTTTTTGTTTGTTTTGGCCATATGATATGTAGTTTGATAAATGATGATAATTAATTGGAAAAATTGGTTACCAATATGTTTGTGTTAATTCGATGACCTCAAGTTACATGTAGATTTTAGTGTATTTTTTTATTTTTGTTAGATTATAAACAATGTTATTCTATGTGTGTTAGCTGTTCGACTTTATAATTAAATTACATCTTCTAGTTTTGTATACTAGCAATATGTAGAGATATAAATAAAAATAGTAGATAGAGAGAGATACTTGGTTGTTGTAAAAGGGGGAGAGTTTTTTTTTTGGTTGGATCATGAAAATTTTCACTTTGGGAGCAAAGACTGGTTAGTTACAGTCTGTAAGTTCCATGACGTGTCTCTCTCCCTCTCTCTCTTCAGGGGTATTTCCGTCTTTCTCGTAAGACTGGCTTTTTGAGAAATGTTTTAGAAAAGGAAATTGCTTTTTTTTTTCTTTTCTTTAAAAATAATTACTATTAGGGAGTCAAGTGAAAGCAAACAAAGATATTTAAAATTTTTAATTATACGATTTATTTATTTATTTAGTTGGGTGTACTGTGTAGGACTTCTGATATTACAGTGCTGACGATATTTTTGTACAGTTAATAATTAACAGGGACCAAAATAATAATAAAAGTAAAATCATTTTTTATATATTTGTATTATTATCATCCATGTGGATTATTTCTTAATTTGTTCTTGTTTGTTGGGTCATGCAATGTGTGTGTTTGCCTTTGCCTACTCCCATAAAAGAAAAAGAGTAGCTGATATTTTTTTTTTTGTGTAAATAATAAAAGTAAATAGAAACAAATGCTAAGGGTTGTTTCGTAAACTTACCTGCCGTATTTGGTACTATTCTTATGAGGCTTTATTTGGGCCGGTCGACAAATATCTGAAGTGGTGGGGGGTTTTAACACGTTCCGCCATTTTGAGCCAGACATTAAAGAAGGCCTGAACCCACCAAAACTCCGACAAAACACAATCATCTATCTACACCAGCGATTCCAGATTGATCAATTTCTTTTAGCTCACTTTTTTTATCGAAATATAGTAAACATCTGAACTCTAAAATGATCTAAAATCATGTTAGCTACTACGGTGGTCAGGCTGAACTGAAGAAGCTATAACATATATACACAATACTTGATTTTGATCTTCATTTGGTTATACATATATAGATAGATATGTGGCTATTGAGAATCAAAACACATTCATTGGTAATGGTTAGAACACTTTGTAAATATGAATAGTCTTAATCATGGTCGTGTTTGTAGGGCTAGAGGCTAGTACGTTTTCTATAAAGTTATTCGTCGCATCACTACTGGTATATACTAAACCACTTAACACTCTCTTTTGATACCATTACTATTAAACCAAATTTAACTTTCATTGTTTCTTTTTTTTTTAAAATTAAGATGTTTTCATCTATAGTATTATTATTGGACCTAGTTTAAAATAT